ATAGGCCACTGGAGTGGAACCTGTACAAGTAGGCCTCTACATTTCAGGGGGGGGGTGGGGGTGGGTGGGTGGGTGGGTGTCTGTTTGGAGAGATGGTGACTGCGGCCATTGCAAGTCTTAGCAAACCTGTAGCTAGCATCACTCAATATGTTTCAACCGTTCTAAATGCAGGCTTGTGCATCCTGTATATGTAAATGCTCGGGAAGGGCACCACAGATATGTTGTATGACCTTCAGTTCACTAGAATGACTACACCGAGGTTTCTTGTCTCAAAACTATGGTCAGAGCTTCATCAACACGGAGGCAGGCAGAAGATGTATGGCAGCAACGTGAAACAAATAGCACTCTGGGCAAAAGGTGAAATTAAACATGGCGGGAGAGATTAGTTGCCCCTGCCAGCAAGTCATGATCTTCATGCGAAGGCCATAATTGCCACCGCAGCGCAAACAACGGCATACATGGCCGGGCAGGTGTTCAACGGGACCTCCAAGTCTATCGCTGCCTTTTAGCTGGAAGAGAGTGTACCGGGATTCCACCAGGCTGTACTCCATTGTTTGTCCCAGCCCTCGGTTCGGAAGAGAACCATTCTTCTACCAGTACTCGTAACATAAAGTATCTACTTTATATACAATATTTATAGTATAATATATATATATATTATATATTATTTATATTATATATACATATATATATATATATATTATATATCCTTGTATATCATAGTTACAGTTTCAGGACAGTGCTGCGAAGAGTTATGTCAATACTAGCAAATGTTAGCCTCAGATGTGACGCGGACTCTTGCGCGGCCGCAGTTGCGCTGTAGTGTTGAGGTCGAGTGTGATGATCGGGTTCATTCGGTGCGCATGGCAGGGCAGGCAGGACAAACACAAAGCACAACTTAAATGGATTGAAGAAAGGCAGTTGCAAGATACCACAAAAATCCCAAGACGTGTTGGAATAGCGCTGTTGAACGGACTATGTTTTTCCACGTGTTCCATTTTGCTGGGCAGTTGTTTATACGGCATTTGTCAAACACAGGTGTTACAAAACCAGTGGGGAGTCAATATTGACATATATTGACTGTTTGTAACGACCTTTGAGGGAATGTGCCAAAACCAGATGGCTGTAGCAGTGGTTGCAAACAGAAGAGCGAAGAAGGCGCAGATCAGGTACATGATGGACTTGGGCTCCATGTGAATCAGGTTCAATCTTTGACATATCTATATATCATATATCCGAGGTTGACATTCCGATACGCCCAAACATCACAATGGGCAGCGGCTCTCAGTTTGTGGTGCGGAAACCTGGCGGTTATCAAATTCTCAGATTGGTTGCTGCATGGCGCCTGATGAGTGGTGAAACCCGACCTGCCCAGAAACCACGATGTGCCAAAACCGATTCGCTTAAAGGTGCTGCACCGTGCCTTTGCTGACTTTGCGGTGCAGTTTGGGGGAGAGGCCAACCTCGGACATTGAGGAAGTGTTTTTCGGAATTGGGGGCTTAGTTAGCAGTATTTGTTTACGGTTTTTGTGCCCTCGTGTCATGCGGTGCCAATGAAAAACTGCGGGATCACACAGAAGTGGGAACATACTGCTGCCTGACTGCTACAGTTCACTAGTTTGGGCTGAGATTTTGCCGCAAGACTTGCAAGATCGGGGTCAAGGTTCCCTTGCAGAACACGGTGTTCAGGAGCTGGTGTTGCTGCAAAATTTGAAATGCGAATAGGGGGTGAAAAGTGACACTGACTCAGCGTTCTGACAGCATGTTCATTGAAGTTTTAGTATATCATAGTAATATATAAGTATCTTTAAGTTATTCCGCCATTCACTGTTCTGACTTTGTGTCTCATGAGTGCGCTTTCAGCCGCTTCCAGACTCGAGAGGTTTTTCACGAAGCGGCCTTTGACAACGGAATAGGATTGTGATATAACAACCCGAGAGGAGCTCCGTGCCAGCATGTTTTATTTTGGATACATGTGTAAGGCTGCTGATTGTTTGTTTTTTCTGAATGCTTGGCTACAGTACTCTGGCAGATTGTTTTGGACCTAACCATACCTAAAGAACCCTAAAGATATTTTTATAGAACAACAACTCTTTCAAGTACTTTGACAAACATGTTCTTTAACTTGTAGACATTCATCGGATTGCCGGGATGGACTGCGAGTGCTTGACACGCATGGCATGGAGATTGAAGAAAGATGCTCCGTTGCACGCTCACCCCTGGTGCTTAATGTCGGCGGAGCTGCTTGGTATGGTTGCTTTTGTTGAAATGCATGTGTGTGTGTGTGTGCGTGTGCTGATTTGCCGATGTCACTTGGTTCCCTTACATTTGATTGGAGCCACTTCAAAGAGCGCTTGTGAGGTGCTATTTACCACCACAGCTTCGACATTAGAGATTCTCGGTTCCAGATCCGGGCTTTTGTTGGTGCTTATTTTGCGGACGTTGACCTCTCGTAGCACTTGCACCGGAACGGGGTTGCTCCTCGAGACTACCTAGCAAAGAGGGTCGGTCATGAGCCATTGCGTTAATTAAGATTACCCGAAACGTGCATCAGATTGGTGCGTACTGCAAACCGAGAGCCTGTCCTGCAATTTGACCCAGAAGCAATACCAGTGCTTGTAGCTTCTTTTGCTTTGTGAAGGGAGTGGCATCTAGAATTCGAAGTCCTCTTCAAAGCCTCAGACACCTGTCTGGCCAGGAAGGCGCCTTTTTTCGAGGCGATGCTTCGACACAATGAGACAGGGCAGACTCTTTTTGGCCGCTCTGTGGATCAAAATGGGCGTCTTTTCGTCGATCGTTCTGGCTTCTTGTTTGAATATGTGCCCTGGCAGCAAGGCAAGGCTTTTGTCCGTCAGATATGTTTCTCAGGTCATGTTCAAGCATTCAATCTCAGAAGGGAACCGATTTCGATCTTGACCTTTTGACACCTCTCTTCACAATCGAGCTTGGTCGGCAAAAGGGCCGGCAAAAGGCCCCTGGGTTTGGTCTTCACTCGACTCAACTTAGTTATGCTACTTATTGGCATGCTTGCCTGTGAGCAGAACTCTTTTTTCTCGAGCTGCATCCCTTTTCTGGTGCGCAAACAACTGAGGTCTTGGAGTATCTTCGCACTGGGTATTGGCTGTTGGGCGATCGGGGTCGGAATCGAACCTTCTTGGATGCCCTCCGAGCAGAAGCGCTTTTCTATGGCCTCGATGGCCCTGTCCCCGAGATCTTTACCGCAGAGGTCTCGGAGTACTTTTCCATTTGGAGTGCAGATGATGGCCATGTTCCTCGCTTCAGAAGACAAGTATGTGTTGAAACATCCGACAAAGCTATCAGCCAAGATGTGTAGTGTAGTGCATTGTAGACATCATGTTTCTACATCTTCTGATATGTCTTGCCTTGCCAAGGAGATTATTTTCTTGATTTCCTTAGAGGACGATATCAATGACCCTTCGGCTTTCCAAGCTTCATTTGTGCCTGAGAGCATTTCTGGATGTTCTGGACATGCTGGAGAGCATTGCTCACAAAATCCGGAGAAAAGGTCGAATGACCAGAATGCCCACTTGGCACACAAGTATCCTGTGCAAGTCAAGCTTCCTGGAGGTTGTGTCAAGACGCTGTATGCGGAGGCAGTGGATGGTATGTCAGCTGCAGACATTGCCAGGAAATTTATTGACCAGAACTGTTTGAAGCCGGGCTTTGTGAAGCCATTGGAGTGGGTGGTGGGTGCAATCTGGGAGAATGCCAGGTCCAAGTACTACCCAGCCCACACACGGGAGATCTACATTTGTGCACGCAGACAATTTCAATGCACTCAACTTGGTCTGACATTCAATAGAGAGAAGTGGATAGACTGGTAGCGAGGCAAAAGGCCTTTGCGCACGGAGTTGCATACTTATTTAGTTGGTCAAATTCAAGCATATAACACGTGCGATCAGCTGCCATTTCTTTTGCTGTCAGTATGCGCCGCGTCCCTCTCATCCCCTCTCCGTCAGTCAGCAGTGGAGCTCATTTCCAGAGGGCCAACCTACAGCCGCAGGACATGGTTTTCACAGTTTCTGAAACTGAAGAGTCTAACGTCATAATGTAGAGCCAAATGAAGAAATACAAAGGGTTTAGGAAGGAAGAAAGGTCATCGCCCTTGCTGGAGACCATTGCTATTGGGTTCCTTAAGGATTCCTTACTGATATGATAATGTAATGCGTGTTCAACAGTTTGGCAAGCCTCCAATGTTTTGGTTGTGGTGAAGCATGAACATTAGAGGAACATGAACAGCAACAAGTTTTTGTTGGGCTTGGGATGGCTTGGGCTGTTCGTTTACCCCTGTTCTTTTGCGTGCGTACAGGATCCGGAACGAGTCCCTGTCCCGCCAGGCACACCTCGAAATGGAGTTTCCAAGATAGAGTCGCAAACCTTTCAAATCGGAAGCCCTTGTTACAGTGTTTGCCTTGTTGCTACATTTGCTACCATGTTCATCAATGTTCTTTCTTTAGGGGGGAGGCCATCGCTATTAGGTTGGAGGCCATCGCTACTAGGGTGGAGGCCATCCGGGGTTGTATTGCTCGAGGTCCATGCTAAGGGACCAAAATCTTGACACCGACACCCGACATTGTGTGGAGATTGAATACAGATCATTCTCAGGATCGCTGTGCTGACAGGTCTTGAATGAGGTTCTTTTCTTTCCTTCTCCTGACGAGACATTCTTCCATACGCTGGTGCGGAAGCCTACTTACACAGCAGGGCCTAGCTACCTTAATATCACAGAGTACCATCAGGTTCTTATGATTCTTATGCTTGCATAAGTTGGCCCTACGATGACATTCTGCGAGGGTCCTGATTCCTCGTCGCTCACATGACAAAACAGCTGTCATTGGCAGAGTCATTGGTGCCATTTGTTGCTCAAGGCGATGAACTCACATTTTTGCAGATCCTATGCCACGTGTGCAGAGAATAAATTCACACGGAAGAAATCCTGGGAGGGCGGAGAGAGAACGATTGAAGCTGAAGCGCATGCTGATTCCACAGCGCCAGGTACAACTTTCACTTTCACCACACAGAAGGGCACTTTTTGGATCAGTCCTCGCGACTTGGAATCGCAAGGGGCTCCTGGCCTTACTACTAGGAGCAGGGACGCTACTAGGGCTCCTGGCCTTACTACTAGGAGCAAGGACGGTACTAGGGACTCCTGGCCTTACTACTAGGAGCAAGGACGCTACTAGGGGCTCCTGGCCTTACTACTAGGACAAGGGACGCTACTAGGGGCTCCTAGCCTTACCACTCACGGAACTTGCGGTCGATGTCTGTCGCTCGCTTCCTGCGGTCCTTCTGGCCTTACTACTAGGAACAAGGGATGCTACTAGGGGCTCCTGGCCTTACTACTAGGAACAAGGGACGCTACTAGGGGCTCCTGGCCTTACTACTAGGAACAAGGGACGCTACTAGGGGCTCCTGGCCTTGCTACGAGGAACAAGGGACGCTACTAGGGGCTCCTGGCCTTCCTACTAGGAACAAGGGACGCTGCTAGGGCTCCTGGCCTTACTACTAGGAACAAGGGACGCTGCTAGGGGCTCCTGGCCTTACTACTAGGAGCAAGGATGCTACTAGGGGCTCCTGGCCTGACTACTAGGAGCAATGTTTGCTACTAGGGCCTCCAACCTACTAGCAAAAGTCTTCGCGACTTGGAATCGCAAGCTTGCTTGGCGTGCATTGCCAACTGAGACGCACCACAGATCATGTCATATTTACTATTCTTGCTTGACGCGGATGCTAAGATACGTATCAGCACCCCTTTTCTGGCACCTTCGCCCGATCTCCAAGGCAAAGGTACACTGACTTTCCAACAGGAAGCCCTCCGGTGCTCACACTGAAGGAAGTGCCTTTGCTCACGGAGGTCCGAGTCAGACCCTGAATTTGAGTGGGCATGGTGTTTCAGTCACTCTAGGTCTTGTTCAGGTGTAAGGGCATTGCCAGTCGAACTGATGCAGACATATTAATATGCAGATTTATAGTCTGGGCATGCTGCAGTGCAGACCTGAAACAAGTATCAAATGATGTGCGCAATCCATGTACGTCCGACTCATATGTTCAATCTCCAACAGAAGGTTCGAGCTTTTCACCCGATCATCTTCGCCCGCAAGTTCGACGCATCCAATCACTCCAGCATTCGAAGCTTGGCCCAGAAGCGACAAGGGTTGAAAGGACGCTTTGCTTTAGGGCAGGTGAAAATGAACTATATAGAGTATCAATAGATGGACATGATGAATCAACAGATCTACAACATTCTACAAGAATGCATATGGCTGCAAGTAGCCAGCACGTCTCCACAATTGGCCTGGAGATTAAACTTAGAGGGTTCTTCGTGTGACTGAGGTCTGGAAGAACTTTCACCTCTTCGAAAGGCCATCAATCGCTGGGCTCCTGCAACAGGCCAGGATATCAAGCCGATTCAGCTCAGAAGCTGATCCTGCCCCAGAATGTCCAAGTAAAGATGGTGTGGAACGGTGGAACGCTTTGCAGATGTAGACAATTTATGTAGACACTAAAAAATTTCCTGATGTTCATGTTATCCTAAGACTTTTCCTAAGACTTTTCAAGATGTCTTGGTGTGGGTCGAATGCGTCTTCGTTTCTTCATACATTGATTCAAGCCCTAGGGGCACGAGACACCCAACATGCACCAAGCTTTTTCTCGAGCCTGAGCTGAATGTTTGATTCTATTTGCCGGATGAATTAAGACCAATCCCACCATCACAAGGCATTGCACTCTGTTTGAGACCTTCAACGGTCAGGAAGCTTCAGCAAGATCCTGGATGCAGTCAGCCATGGAGACCTCAGAGGTGCCAAAGCACAGTGAGCAGTCTCTTTTGAGCCTTCCGATACCACTTCTAGATTAGTACATTACATAGGTGTTTAACACACAATGTGTACTCATGTGATACTATAACCAAGTGTTCATGAATACTCGGCCGAAACGGAGCAAATCTGGAGCGTTTTTCGGGGAATGGTTTGAAACAATAGTTATGCAACAAGCTGTGACAGGAATTGAAAGACGATTCTGTAGACTGCCAAGACGCAAAAGCGCCGCCACGAACTCAGGTGCTGAGCAACAGCTGTCGTCAACATCGATCTTTGACACCCTGCCTGCCAGCTACCGTCTCTATGTGCAGCATGCGTTCCGATGCTCAGGATCAGTCCAAATTGGATGCACTCGCGGTCTACTATCACCTTCAAGTAGTGATTCAAGTTCAGACACTAGTGAACAAGCTCCGATTGCGTCCCAGCTCGGCACCTTTAGTGCCACTGAACCAATAGTCATACGTGTAGAAAGACGAAGGAGTGCCTGAAACTGGTTCACCTATCTTTCACGTTTCATGCGGAGGCACAGTGCGCAGCCACACTTCCGCGAGGTGGGACAACGGATACATGTTCTTGCCAAAAACATGGCTGAGAATACATTGAAAACCTAAATTGCAGCGCTTGTACTGACTGGAGCTGTGATGTTGCTCATACGTAGGATAGTACTTGTTTGATTTGCTGCATGTGACAATCACTCAAGGGCCAGTCAATTCTTGCCTTTAAAGCTCCAGTAGTCCATCAGCCAGCAATGTGGGCTTGTGCCAGAAGGCAAGAGTGAATGGCACGCTGTGGCTTACTGAAAGATATGCCGTTCCACAGGAGCCGAGTCAGAGTTTGGATACTGCTTTGACAGTTTTGAAGTCATAAAGACTAGTGTAGCCAGAGCTGAAGGGAAAGCCAGATGACAAGCAATGGATAACTTGCCTGACACGACGCCAAAAGACAACAGGATTATCGGCAATTATCGGCTATAGTATTGGTGGCTTCACTGCTGACTCATTTAAACATGCTTCCAAGTCGTTGCTCCCAGCACCTTCAGAGGATTTGCTTTGGACGCACTCACCCATACAATGGTTCTTTCCTCGGACATCGGTTTCCAGTCTTCGACTTTTGCAGTGCTTGCTTGGTCCTTGATTGCCTCATGTTCATGACACTTTCATGTTCGGGTTGAAAGTGGATTGACTCTAGAGTGGTTTGCCTTCATGTTTTGCCTATGTTTGCCTCATAAATCCGGCCTCCAAGCACTCGAATTTGTTGATAGTCGCAAATCATCCACTGTTTATGTACGATCAAAGAAAGCCAGGGGCCAGGGGGCAACTACTGCAGTGCCGTCCTTCCTACTTATCCTTGTTTTGCAGCCGTGTTTTCCAAGGATCCGCGTGGGCACAGGCCTGCCATGCATGTTTTGTTCGATGTGGATTAAAGCCGATGAAATGCCACGGGATGTTTAGTAGAAACAAGAAGCTACTAGGAACAAGTGCCACGCTAGTAGTAACAGGTGCCTTACTAGTAGTAACAAGAAGCTAGTAGAAACAAGAAGCTACTAGGAACAAGTGCCACGTTGGACCTTGAGAGGCTGGAATTCCTCTGACCTGCAGTTCCATGGTGCGGTCTCTGTCTTGAGCACCCTGGAGGCGCCCGAAACAGTTCTCTGGGTGCAGCTTGAGCTTGCAGTGAATTTGGTTTGTGAACCAAAAGAGTGGAGAGTCGCAGAGGTGGTTTCAGCGAAATGGAAAGAACGATCCAACTCCGGTTTGGCTTTAAGGACGACATCCGCTGTCACAGGGTCATCGAATCGTGGGTCGCCCGAAACAGCCTGGATGAAGACAATCAAAGTAGGAAAACAGCTGTTCAAAAATCATATGGCACTTGCATCAGGCACAACAGGGACTTTGGGCAGCCTTCTACTGGCACCTCGGGCAACCAGCACGTCATCTACAAATCAGTTGGGACACCTGGCATGACCGGGTCACTGCTCAATTGCAAGCTGTGAGTCATGGCCAAAAAGGCTGGCACACAAACTATCACTGACTTCATGGGGCCACAATGCAGCTGCTCAGAGTGTGGAAGCATGACAACCTCATCATTGGAGTCACACGCACACCCGCCCAGTTTGGTGTTCCTGAGGTTGGTCAAGCCCAAATGGCCGGAGAATATGGGTTAACCAGGAGCCGATCATACTTGATTACCGGGTGGAAAAGATGAGTTCGAGTGACGCAGAGTGTCACATACCAAATCAGATATTCAAAATATCGAAACACCGCAAGTGCGGACTCCAGAGGGCCTTACAGTCATTTGTAAGATAAAATACGACAATTAGTTTTGTCCAGTGGAGACATCTGGAGACCATTGTAGGCTACGCACGCTGCACTTCTTGTCAGAATCCACTGGTTCCTTGCTCGTCCGACCCCCTGAGCAAAGGAGCTTCCAGCTTATCAGCTTTTCAGCGTAGCGAAAGCTCCCCTACAAGGCAGCGAATTGCACCCCTTTGCGATGTGAAGATTGTGAAGGATCGGACGAGAGTTTCAGGGAATGATGATCCCACAACATCGCTACTGAAGGTGGCTTGGATGGGATCGAATCTCCCTTTGGGTCCATAATAGGCCTGCCACTTGGGCACCCAGAATCACCAGAGTCACTATGTTGCTCACATTGTGAGGCTAAGTTCATGCTACCCATGGCAGGTGTCCTCTCACTTGTTTGAATCGCAGGTGTGCCTGAAGCTGGGTGGTGGCTTGTGCCTGAGTGAAGGGTACAAGAAGCTGCGATGCGGAAAGGCATCCCTTGAAAAAAAAGAGTCTGTTGAGCAGTTCGTTCAGTCCGGTTCAGTCTGAAGAAATTAACAGGAGTCTTCAGACCAGTCCATCAGGCCGTGACATGGGACGGTCTGAAGAACCGAGCCAACGGAGTGACGGTCGTCCCAGGTTGGTGGAAGTCGCCACAGGTTCGGCCCAATTTGCCAAGTGTATTGATGGAAGTCGTTGGGTATGGCAAAGGATACACATACAAACTGGCCATACAAATTGCTAACTACATGGTCCACGATGTCCACGGCAGATATTATGCCGTGTGTCAAATCAAAGGTGGCATTGTCAACGTGTTTGTTTTCCATTGGTTTTAACAGTGCCAAACACAGATTTCACTGGAAGCTTGATTTTATTTGTATTTCCATTGGCGTTAAGATGTGGAAGCTCCTGGCCACTGCGTTTCATGTCAGGAAACGTGGTTTTGAAAAAACCGAGAACTACTTTCAACCTGCATTGAATACATATGCTTCTCTTACATCTAGTAACATGTACTTCCCCAAATCTAAGTTTCTGGTCAAGCAGATCTTGGACATTTACGTCCCAAGCAATGAGTTGGTAGTCTTCTCCTTCCTACCGCGGACCAACGGGTGTAGTGGGTTGACCTCACGCTCCTACCTAGAACAAAACCATTTGATGGCCAAGGACACATCTGCCCCGCCGAGTTTCCAGCAAACTTTCACTTCTGCAGGGCGATCAGTGCTTGCAGCAACTCTTGTGGATTCAGTAGCCCAAGGCTTTGCCTCCACTGCAACTGTTTTGTCCCCTTCGCTCTAAACTTGTCTCCTTAACCTATGGTTCAACATGGTTCAACAGAAAACTTGGACCGATACAAAAATGCAACATTCGAGGCCCCCTGCCAAACAACGCGGATCGAAGACGGATCCAAAACAAACGCTATTATTCCCTCACCCCCACCCGCCCAGCCCCACCCACCCACCCCGCAGCGGTTGGGGCTGGTGGGGACTGAAACCACCCTAAAGTCACCCATGCTAAATCAGCTCCTTCTGACAGCACCAAATACAATGGAGAAGTACAGCTCCAAGTCTTGAGACAAGGCTAGCGGCCTACACCAAGAAAAATGTGAAAAGACTGTTTTACCTATATAAACAAAGTCTGGTTGCTGACCATTCTGGTCCTTCTACGGCTGGGTCTTTCTACATTCCTTTACCACTTTAACACCGAGAAGAGCTGGTTTGTACATGTGATGATACTTGTATGATGAGTCTGTCCAAAGAAGACAATGATGCAGGCCATGCTGTGAAAAGCTAGCAAACGCACCAGCTTCTTGTTTGAGAAAGCCTATGTTTGTCCCTTGAGATGCTGCTACCTGCAAGACTTCCAGACATCAACAAATTCGATCCAACCAAGCACCTGACTTGATAACGGCAGAATTCTTGAGGACTTATTCCCTGACTTAATTTGCAATCCAGCTGATGTTGCTTGGTGCCTGCCAAAACAATCAAGACATGGGCATACATTGAAATTCCTGGAACCTCCAGAATCTATTATATATGTGTTATTTGATCTTGCCAATGTTAGTTTCTAGGAGGTTGGGATTGAGATGTCAACGGGGTTTGCTGCAGGTTATCCTCAACCCGGCCTTCAAGATACTCAGGCAAAGCTTCAGGCATGCCGGAGATTGAGTCTCGAAGGGTTGGTTGGTGTCTGGCTGCCTGCGCCTTTTTGTGGTTGCTTCTGCCTGCGTTGGTTCTTTTGGTTGTTGATTGCGTTATTAGACAATGTGTTTACATCGCAACATGGGTACAGCGCGTGCATGCATCATACAAACTATTTCCTTCACCCTATTTCAACCATTTTCAACCCACCGCAAACCGTGCATGACTCATGTCAGTGCACAGAAAATAACGGTTTGATCCTGGCAACGGTCGGAAGAGACTTGTGAAAATGCCAGGTACGTGTTGTATCTCGGCGCTTCTTCCTACATGATAGCAGCACGCCACAGGGTGACTTGACGCAGGCCATCAAGGACATAAGTTGTTGGGCTAAAAAGCAAATAGCATTGTTTACACCTTAGACTTAGACTTGGTTTCGAGCATATAATTAATAGATACATACTATGTGTATTTGTGTGTGATATTGTGCCAACTGCCCAATTGCATGGTGAGCGTTCCGCCTCGTCCCAGCTATGACAGCCTTCTATGACAGCTGAATCATGTAGAGTCGCAACCGCACAACAATGGTGCTTTGACGTTTGTCAATCACATGTACCATGGATGAAGTATTTTTTGACGTTCATCTTGCTGTTAGGGGTTTAAAGATGCGACATTTGTCGCTTTGGTCCAGTATGAATCGCAGTCCCAATATGTTCCAGGAGTTGTTCAGCTTCGTGATCCCAGATGTGCTGAGCTCAATCACTAGATGCCTATGTGATCAATGCATCTGTTGGCCAAGGTCAGGTGATCTGTGTCAGACGAGATCTGCACTGTGCGGATGGAGAAGGCATGGTTGCAGGTGAAGTGCCCAGAGTTGAGAATCAATGAGAGGTGAGTGGAAACGGATGAAAAAATGTGACAAAAGGGGCATTGTGGCATTGCTTGCAGAAGCATCTCCAAAACAACGGTTTTTCTAAGTTGCGGCACTTGTGCGAGGACCTTTGCTTGACCCTTGCAGATCCGAAGCACTGCGTTCAGGCCATTGAGAAGTCCGATTCATTCGTTGTTCTTTCGGTTTGGTCTCCAATGTTTCGGCCTCTTTCAAAGAAGTCCGAAAGTCATACTTGTATTATTTGCATCTGCACGTGTTTCAAGTTGGCCAAAGCTTAACATCCCACTTGTAGCCTCAAGGCGGCGGTATTTGGTATTTGCAGGACCAACATTCTCTCAAGAACTCTGCCTCGTGTAAGGTTTGTTGCGGGAGCTGAAGGTCTTGAGGACTGATACTGAATGATGAGATGTATAAAGTGGCAAAAAAAACTCGTTTTCTTGAGCCAAGGTTTTAGGTACCCCCAAAACCCAGCAGGATTCAGCCGCGAGTCCCACCAAGCTGCTGACGCAGTGATACTATGTAGCAATTGAATACAAGTTCTTCAAAGCAAACTGACTGTCTCATTCTCGTGGGAGAAATTGCTTGTATTTCTCGCGGGCTTCCTCAGTAAGAGATTTGCTCCCTGTGAGGAAAGGAACACTCATGAGAAGTTTCCTTTGGCTCTTCATTTTGGTGAACAAGTAGATTCAACGAACCAAAGGTGGCCACGGAACCCTGCTGGTTCCAACCCCAAAACGGACAGTTCGCCTGGAGGGGAAGAGAGTGGACCAGCACTGGCACGGAGCTTGGTTGTCAAAGTGCCCGCGCAATGCAGGACATGAACCCCGAGTTGTTTGAAAGTCATTAGTCTGGCATGTGGATTTCAAAGATGTGGCCTGATCACAGCAAGAGGGAGACTATGTTCACATATTTTCACCATGTTGACTTGCTTGTGTTGCTTCCTGCACAGCCCATAGAGCCCAGTACGACCACTGGCACTGATACCCGTGTAGACATAGCTATGGACACACACTTGTTAGTTGAAGTCTTTCATGAGCTTCCCATCTATCTATACAAGATGTGGATTGAAGCGAGTCCTCTTGAAGTAAAGCAGCAGAGCAAGTACAGCAATGCACTGTTTTTGTCACGCATCCTCCCAGTTTTCTCCTTGCGGCTTGTTCTTCGGAGCCTTTCACGTTGGATCAGTACATCGATATTCTGAGTTGGAACCATCCATGTGTGTTGTTCAACATCCTTCGAAAGTGATCAATCCTTTTCTTGGAAGATGGTGAGCACTGTCCTTAGTTAGCCTTAGTTGGTGCCATCTAACTTGACCGCATGAAAGAGCAGTTTGGGTCACTCACCCGGCAGACTGGTGTAACTTGGGCAGACCACGCATGGCTGAAGTGAAAAGACTGGTTGGTCTAACAGCCTAAGAAAATCCAATGACGCTGCACCGGCTCAATTGAAGCCCAGTGGCTTTGCAGTGCCCGTGTTGCACAAATCTCCGTGGACCATGCCTTCGTCGAAAGGATGCTGAAGCTCGGCAGCTGGCAGCTACGGAACCTATGCTTTGTTTTGCCTGTACGTCCCAATCTCATTCTGCTTTGGAATTGACGATTCGGACTGCTTCGAAACATTGAAAGAAAAGAAAGACGGAAATGCCAAAAGCCTTTGAAAAGCCTTTGAGCTGCAAATACTGTATCACGCCGAGGCATGGATGGAGAACGATTCCGACCCCTGCTGTGAAAAAAAGCAAAGTTCCGATTTGCGCAAAGCAGGAGAAACAAGCGCAGCAGGGCATGAGGAAACTTCAGATTTTCTTAGTTGTCTCTTTCGCCGCACCTTGGAACTAATTTAAGTCTAATAGAAATGCCTGTGAAACAGAATTTCAGAACGCCCGTTTCAAGAGGACGCCACTTGGAAAATAAATGAACATAATATTAATATGTTTGATGTTCTCGGAGCTTACTCCACCCACTTCGCATGAACCACAGGCCCGCATCGGCGTACAATTGGCATCCTGGCCTGGGGGAGGCTCCGATTTTGGTGTGGCATGGAGCCATTGCACATAAATTGGATTAAATTTGGTGATTTGGTGATCAAGACTGCGAGGGGCCTGCTGCAAGGATCATGTTGAACGGCAATGATTTAGCGTTGTGAACATCACAGTGATCATTGGGAATCGGGTAGATTTCTTAGACTTGCACCCGGTTGCGTAGTTTGTTTCGTTCCCAATCATTCAACAAATACACCCGCAATGAGGAGTGTTTGACGACCAAAACGTGCTAGGATGGACCAAAGGCGTCGGCAGTATGGAAGCCAAGTTTGAATGCCACGGTAACTGGTGTTGCTGCATGTTTAGGGAAGCGCAGTATGTGTGGAGGCCGCAAATCATTGTGACCTCAAAAAGTCTTGGCAAAGCGGCTGTTTGTCAAGCAAGCCATTACTTCTGATGTTGCCACCCGAGGTCAAGTGATGGGATGCGATTCAGCCTATTTTTGGCTGGAGTTTTGGAATTGCTGTCCATGCAATGCTGGCTGCTGGGAAAACGTTTTGAAGGAGCACAGATCGGATGCAGAATGCACGAGAAGTTCTTTCCCCGTATCGATTTGGGCGCGACCTTTGCAAAGGATTGAGATTCAAAATTTACAGCAAGGCCAACTCTGAAGTTGATACGTGAATGCTGTGGTTGTGCAAAAGACTGCGTCATCTGGAAAGCCTAATAATCCAACAGTATCCAACAGTGATATCAATGAGATCGGCTTTGGTGTGCTTTGTCAAGCAAAGTCCCCCGAACGGACAAGAGGCGCACTTCCGAACCATATGGCTGTTGCTGATCAATTGACACGGCAAAACCCAGCAGGGAGCGTCGCTTTTCTGGATGACATCTTGTGAGATGTGAGATTTTGAGACAATTTCCTCCTGGCGTGGGAGTGTCTAAATTGACTGTATATACTTTGCACGCCTCAAGTGCGGCTTAAAAGAAGCTCGCTGGCAGTAGCTTGGGACAACTATGCAAGTGAGCGTCGCAATGTTACATGGTCTAACATGGCTTTGGGGTGCACTTCTCAAAAGAAATCAAAAGCACATCTTACCTGGAAGGAACTGAATGAACTGGAAGGGAAAATCTTGAGATGGATGTTTTGCGGTTTCTGCCGTGCTGCTGCAGTGTTGGGTTCGAGAAGAAGACAATCATCGGGTGGTGGGCCAAGATGGATTTCATGGCGCAAAGGCAGGCACCTCAGTAGTTTGTGGAGAGACAATGATAGAGATGCAACTGGGGTGACTAGGGCCACTATTGTGCTAGTCAGGCTGGTTGCATTCCTTGTGCTTGGCAAGACTTGAATCGGGTTCGGGTTTGAGATGCCAGAAACAGATGTTTTTTCATGAGAACTTCCCGGTTCCTCGATGTTCTTGGAGGCCGGAAGCGCAGGAGTTCGTGCGACACGTAGAGGAAGGTTGCCCGGAAGCCCGGAGCACAAAGACCACGGTCACACACAATCACAGGAGTGCCAGGGAAGAAATCAGCCAAGCAATACGAAACATAAGAGGTAAAACCATGCAAAACCCAACCAAGATGTGCATTGAATACCCACTGATTCGGCGACTGCTTTTGGCTTTTAGGATATCTCCCAGATGATTTTCTGCGACAAGTATCATTATAGATCATTGATTACATGTGTGTGTGATTGTGTGTGTATATACAGACATATATATCTATATATTTGGTGTTTTGTTGGTAGCATGTGCGTACAATCATCGATTTACCATAGTTGTCCATGGTTTACCTTTGTGTTTTCAACAACTTGATCACTTACAGTTTGTGGTTCAAGGCCCATACCGAGCTGATGATGTGATGAAGCCAGAGACGGCGGTGTCGACTGGAACGACGCTGGCATCAATAGTTTGGACTTGGTACTGATGTCGTGAAGCTATGAGTATCTCGAACATGTGTTTGTCTTCCTTTTGCCATTGATATGCCTTTGAGGACAATTTTCGTGTGTGAATTCGATGGTGGTGTTGTCATGGGGGCAGACTCGCGAACATCAACTGGCAACGCTCTGAGCCTTTCCTGGTGGTCCTTGTGCGAAATGAATGCTTTTCAAGATCCTTCGTCCATCTCTTGCTGCGCTGTCAACAAATAATCAGTGGTCAGTTGATAGCACAAAACCACAAACATCAAGCATACGCAGAAGTACAGAATGCTTTCAAACAATACAGAATTGATGACAAGTCATCCATTGATCAAAGTCAATTCCCTCTTGGATTGCTATTAGTTGATGGGCGTTACCGGGATTCTTCTTTGCGGTATCATGCAGTTCACTCAGGTCAATACGTGGCCAACCGAGCTTCGCGAAAGATCTCCAAGGCCAATTTCCCAGCACAAGAGGAAGCGTATTTGCTGAATCACAAGTGGACAGAACTATCTCAATGATGCTTGTGTGCGTGTGTGAGACCAGGGATTGGATTTGAGGGTTCATGATGAGGATGGCGGCATTGCAACCAGAATCCGTATTCATTACAGTATCTGTATATTGTATGCCTTCCCAGTCCGAACGTCACCACTACTAGTTACTAGCTGTTGGTCATTGACCTCACGGCCTCAACACTCCGAAGTAGTAGCGATGCCCAAAATGTTCCTAGTAGCGTCTCTTGCTCCTAGTAGCAAGGCCAGGCGCCCCTAGTAGCGTCCTTGCTCCTAGTAAGGCCAGGTCGTGTTTCGAGCTCTTCGATGTTTGGAGCCGTCCCCACCGGTAGGTGCATGACAAAATCTTTGTGTGTCGATGCGGAAGTGCGGCTGATACCCAAGCTGGAATCTCAGAGTGAGCTTTGCGCAGGATCTTGTTTGCGTCTGCATGTTAAAGTCTGCGTGTGATGGCCTGTTTAGATCAGTTTCAAGGTTCACGGTGTTCAATGAGCGATGTCAACGTCAACATTTAGATTCAAGTTTAACCCAATAGGATGTCTTTCCAGTTGTTAAGGCAACTTTGCTTTTCTTGAACTGGAGATTAAGTGTAAGTCAAACATGAGTGACCGACAGCTGGCGAGTCAAAGACAGCTGCTGACAACCAGGCATTGACCACCTTTGTGGTTCACTACTTGGGGCAACATGCTGTAGAGCTTGGGCCGGGAACTGAGCAAAACCAAGTTCATCCAAGAATCTACACAGACAGCAGAAAGGAGATCCAACTTGGCGTGACTGGCCGCAGGAAGGCACCAACGGTCAACACAGCCGCAAACCTCTTCAAGATCATGGCTTACAACAACAAGGACTGAGAATCCCATTGCCCAGTGCAGTGGACATGGCAGGGAGCTATCTCAATCAGTATCGGCAAGTATCAGACAGTGTGCACTTTGCTGGAGAAGCAATCATGTATCGCGGTACAGACATGGTGGAGCTTGAATACTGCATGTGGACTTGCTGTGCATTTGTTGCATTCGGATGTACGAATTTCCAAGCGCTTACAAACCGTAGGACCATTTGCTGGCTGGCCTCATTGTCGCTGGATATGATGAGAAGAAGGGAGGACAGGCGCGAAGAGAGAGGGTTGACACAGTTTTGCACTTGCACAGCACTTTCCAGGTAAAAGGATATATATATATAATTGGATTAGTGATTAGTAAAGGAACAAGACCAAGGATATCTCCGTGCTTTGACATGGGCCAGTGAATGAGGTCTACTCCATCCCTCTGGGTGGAGCACGTGTTCGTGTTCCCTGGGCCTGCGATGGTTCTGGCTCTGGCTATATCAAGGGCTTCATTGATGCCAACTATCGACCTGGCAACGTGGCCTACCAAGGGTTGGAAGTGGTGTAAACCTGGAGAACGATTGCATCAAAGGAAGGTGCTTGATAGAAGCTTATTTAATAAAGCCATGTAAGGCATTGTTATGATGTGACACTTTTGAATAAGGCATCTTTCCTTGCTGTAACTGTACAGCACTCCTCCTTACATCCTCAGTGTGTACGCGCATTTGCTTTTGTGTGTCTTTATCGAATATATGGCTTGTAAGAGATCTTTGGTGGAATTGTTTGTAGTTGTTGCAGGTCACAGGCAGGTTGCAAGGGGTTGCAGGTCTTGCCAGCTGCTCGACTTTACAAGATTGTTGCAAGCTTTTACATCCAAGGTATGTCAAAAGCGGAGTGTGTGGAGCTGCTTGGAAGAACAAAACAGAATACAGCCATGGGCCCGCAGCTGTGTTAACCAGTGCCGCATCTACGCCAAAATCTTGCCCCTATAGTTGTTCACCTAAGATGTCCGCAAAAAGGCCCAAGTGCCGGACATTTGGTTGGGACCTCTATTTCCTGTTGAGAAAGTCGCCAATCTATTCCAACTCCACGACCCACTGTGCGATCACTGTATGCCACTGAGTGGTCTTGAAAACTCTGGAGGTTTGTGCAGAGAGCCATCAGTTTGGCCTTGACTCGGGATGGCAGTTCCGGTGGCATGGTGCGCACATTGGTCATCACCAAGGACAAGGTGCCGTGTGACAGTGTGTGATTTCGGATAGGCTTGACAAGACCACAAGAAGGCACAGACCTTCCAGGCAAATGTGCTGGAAGTCCTGCAAAACAGCATTGATATGCACTGGAAGTCCTGTACATACAGATCGAAGTCCAGGATACTGCGGATCATAGCACGCGTTGAACGGAGGGTCGTATTCCAGGTGGAGGAAACGAACTTGGAAGGCAACAAGCTGCCTTTTGGACCCATGTAGAGGTTTGCACCTGAGCCTGGCTTGAGCCTCCCAGTTGACTTTGGCGGAAGCATTTTCTGCGGAGGTCTTTGAAGTCTTTGCTTGTTTTGGAGTCTTTGAGGTCGACTTCCTGATCCACCCAACTGCTGGCACGGCCGAGTGTCAGGCCTAGATCCCAGCAGGTATTGCCAGAGCAGTACTGACCAACCCACTGTATCAATTATTGAATGAAAATACTGCCCAAGCTTCTTCTTTGAATTGCAAGTTTCATAGATGCTAAGTAGTTATCGCACTGCCTGATCCTTGTGGTTTCGTTCTGATGGCAAGGTCCAAAGCGCAATCCCGAACAGAGCTGGCCTTCACAGGGCATGCGCATGAATACTAAAAACAAAGTCCGTCGCGGGCGAATCGATCCAGCTGTGCCTGGCATGACTTTTGCTGGGACTCGCCAGCTCCGCAGCTGCAAAGTGATCAAAAGTGAAGGACCAACAAACAACTATAAACGGATTATATAAGTGGTGGTGGGTAGTGGCATGTAGTGGCTAAGGTCCTTGCTTTTCATTTGAGCTATTTGGCTCCACATGTGTATCACATTCTGTCATTCCCCGCATTGCAAGCTCATTCTATTGGTTTCTCCGAGCATCCAGGTTTCCCCCCCTATGGACCCACGTTTTAAGGGTGTTTGTTCAATGACCTCAGGTGAGGCTGGCCCTGAAAATTCTACAACAAAAGCTATGCCATAAATATGAACATTTTACAACATGAATCAATGACCAAGTGAAAGCATCAGTGACAAGCCTAATGTCAATAGGCATAAAAGCAAGACCGTTACAGTAGATCATTGGCAAATCGTTGGTTCAGACCTATGTGGCCCACAAGCTGTTGGAGAGGCTCCTTGTCAAGCTTATGGAAACTTGAATCGATTCCAACCCAATAGCAATGGCCTCCAACCTAATTGCCATGGCCTCTAACCCAGTAGCGACGGCCTCCAACATAAAAGCGATGGCCTCCAACTGAAAGCTCAAAATTCAAGACTTTGTCCCAGGCTGCTGGGCCTGGCTACAGTCCAAGCCACAGCCTGTGCTAGAAGATGTGGTAGCAGAGGCCCGGAAGATCCTTTGATGCTCCAGAAGCATTAAGCGTGCCAGGCACACATGATCTAACATCACATGTGTTTTTGGTCAGCAGATGTGCTTTCTACATGCAGGCTTGGTGCCGTGTGCTTGCCCTTCCTAGTGGAGGCCCAAAGAGCTGACACTAGACTAGCGCAAAAGGCTTAGGTGGTATCAAGTGAAGTGAAGCCGTCTCATGTTTGTGAGCAGTCGTTTGCTGCTGGTTTGCTGCTGCTGCTGCTGCTGCTGCTGCTGGTGCTGGTGCTGCTGCTCTTGGGTAAACATGTTTCATTCATACGTTCATTCGAGAACGGTGTGGCATCGAGATGTGTGGCCTAAAGTCATGCAAGCAAATATGTTGCCCATCGGGAATTCACATGACTTTCTACACAACAAGAAACACCTTGGATGCGCTTTGTCATTATGATTCCTTGAAGCATCAAATTCTGAAAATGTTTGCTGATGGCTCATTGTGCGCCCTGGTTTCTCCATGTGTTGCCCTTTAGAGCTGTTTTGACGTGTTGGTTTTGACTTTCTGCTGTTGATGTGACGTTCTTCCATGGTGTGACTTATACCCAGTTGATGATGTTGATGTAACTTAAACATACTTGAACACTTTGCTCGTATATAGTATCTCATAGTAGCTTTATGATGCGCGGAAGTTGCAAGGAGTTGCTTTATTCCTGTGAAAAGACTTCACACGGCCAAAGCAAAATGCACTTTGCATAGGTGTTCAACCCAGCGATAGCTTTGTTGCGCTGGGCGGCGAGTCACTGTTGGCTTTGCGGCCGGGACATCAGGGAGCGGAACTGCAGAAACTGCATGAGACCGCATAACACCCCTTGGCAACAGTGCTTGGAGTTGTACATGACATGACTTCCTACTGTGACTATGACTATAACTGATGAAGGCACTGGCTCCTGACAAAAGAGCGCTAGAAAGTCTGAGCACACCAGAGGCATCCTCTTGGCTTGGAGAAGTAAAGAAATAGAGTGTGGAGAGAAGATTTTGGGCAAGCCCATTTCACGGTGGAATCAGTGTCACCCAAATCAGCTTTTCTGACATGACATCGACCGCTTGCACCACAATATGCCACAATATGCCACAATCCTATTTTGATCAGCTTCGAAGAGGGCAAAGTTTTCCGATAATCAGTTAGATAGTTCTGTGCACGTTTGCCAGGGTTTGTGCAGCCTTGCGCTATGAGTTTGCAGGGAGTGAGGCCTGAGAAGGTTGCCACCTTGACTCATACAAATGCCTATATACTTGTTTTGTTTCGTTGAACTGCATTCATCCGATGGCGATTTGCATATCCCCGCTGTTCCGCCGACAGGTGCCAGACGACGATGAGGCTCCGGGCGGAGACCAGGTGCAGCGACAATTCATCGACCGAGCCGCATGTTTATCCACAACTTCCTTCAATACAGAAAACATAAATGAGCAAAACGACAACAGACAAGAAGCAATGACACATAGAGCACCAAACATAACCACAGCACATCCTGCCAGTGGCCACTAGTGGCCCAAATGTGGGGTCCTGCCAGTGCCACGCCAGTGCGGATCCACAACACACGATAGCAAGCACCACAAGAGACAACAAACAATCACAAACATAATGAAGGTACTACACGAAGCATTATATGTTATATAATATATTTAACAACTTAGGATGGCAAACAGTACAACAGACGACAAGTAACAACGACACCAATCGCAACACCTCATATAGGAACAAACCAGGTCGGGTGGGGATAGTTCAAAGTAAAGTATTGTTCTTAGTATTGCATATCTCAACTTATTTGAATTCGAGGTTCGCATGTGTCGGTTTGTTGCTGCTCAGATTGCATGCACTGGGTACCCTGTGGTAAACATGTTCTTTTAGAGCGGACTCTTATCGTTTCATGTCAGATACTTGATTTTGCATGGTGTTTTCTCACTTTGTTCATTATGTGTTTGATAAGTTTTCAGGCTCAGTATGGTCAGCTGTTTGGCGCTTTTGCCGTGTCCGAGCTCTTGAGAGCGCTGGGCGCTCGAAGCGCCACGGGTGTTTGGGGGGCAGAATTCTGTGCCCAATCCTTTCTGTATTCGATAACTACTAGCAATGGCCTCCAACCTAGTACCGATGGCATCCAACCTAATAGCGATGGCCGCTAATCCTTTCAGAATTTTGCAACTATATAGATGTTTACTGTAAAGATTTGCAAACTGGCGGTCTATGGGTTAGTATAGCATTGTGTAGCCGAAGTTATAGCATTGTGTGTTCATGCTAAGCAGAGTCTTAAGGGCGATGCACAGAGAGGTTTGAGCCCTGCTTTGCAGACCAGGCCAAGCCTTGCGGCATACTGTGAGTGTCTTCGGCTTCAGGGTGTCACTGGTGCACTAACTTCGACGACGTCGATCTCGGCATCTCACACAGGCAAGGTTAGTCTCAAGATGTCTCAAGAGTCCATTGAAGCTCGCAAATAGTGAGCTGGTTCACTGATTCACTAGTTCTATATAGGTGGTGCAGAAAACTCTGGAATCCTCAAAGAGAAGCCCTGCCTTTCTTGAGTCGCGTCATGATCATGGTTGATTTGCTGCCATTCCATGTTTGTGCTCAAGCCCTGTTTTGGGCCTCAATATGCACAATGCAGCCAAGCAAGGAAAACCCCAGGTGTCGGCCCACGCCGTGAGCGGAGTGTCAGGTCACGGGCAACAACCTGGGATGCAAAGTGGTTGGACAGCAGAGCCGTTCAGCAGCTTCGATGCATTTCCTGTTCTCTCCCAGGCAAAGAGCGCCTATCAGTGGCTTTGTAACGATGAAGCTGGGGCGAGGCTTACCTGGGAACGCTGCAAGGTCTTCGGACCTTTTATTTCACAAGCATGGTCTTTAATGGAATATTACAACGGATACTCAGAGCAGGCTATGGAGAGACAGTATGCCTTCTTTACAAACTTTAAGAGTACCTTTGTAGCTGCTGCAGAGTCTCTACCCATTGCTGCTCCCTTTCTTGCTTCCGCACATGCCTGCTCGGGCGACCGAAAAAGAGCGGAATGGATTGGGAGAAAGGCGTGTAGGAGTTGCTTGGTGGTGACGGCTGGAGGCACTGTTTGCGCTGCTGGGGGACCAGCGCTAGCCTCAAGCAGCTCCCTCATTGCCGTAGCTGCTGGAGCAGGAACGTTGACGGGAATCATGTGCGATGCATTCCTCGTTCCAAGACCCAGCGTGCCGAGACCCTTGACGCCAGGCCAACGCTTTGATTGGGCGGCCGTGCGCTTCTTGGATGCTTTGAGGGCCATGGCTGGGTTTGACCTGGTCCTGGTGTTTTGGCCCGAACGTGCTTCACAGATCTCTGTTTGGATTGAACCAATTTCAGTGGGTGATGCAGCACGGCTGGCAATGGGCCAAGGAACCTCAGCCGATGCTGCTGTTGTCGCCAGTCCTTGGAAGAACCATTTGTTTGACTTGGACAAATTTCCAAGTGGTGTTGATCACGTTTTCGTCATGTGGAAGACAAACAAAGGCCACTTGTTTGTCTCCGAACGTTTGCATGACGGACGTGTCTTGGTGGAAGATCTTCATAATGGCACCATGCTCCCCTTCGCGCACGGAAAGGCATTGCCCACAGAGGATTTGCATCGTGCCGCAGGTGGTGTGCCTGGCCATGGCGGCCATGGTCATGGTGCTGGTCCTTCAGCTGCAGGCAGCCAAGCCACTCTGGCAACAACAGCTGCAGAGGCTGCCAAGCAGATTTCAGATGGGAAAGCCCAGCTCTTTTCGGAGCACACACTCCAGGGAGGGCCAAGTGTTGTCCACTTCTTGGAAGTGGCTAAGGCCAAGTCTGCAGCAGGATATGACTTAATGCAAGCGAATTGTCAGCACTATGCTCAAGATGTGTGGAACTTTGCGGTGGGACATCGCTTGGGCATGCCCAACCAGGACTTCTTGAATATTTTCCAACTCTTTGGAGCACCAGCTCGCGGTGCAACAGTAACGCAACCGGGAGTGTTAGGTAATGCCTTGTATGCTTTACGAGATGCAGGGGCCTGGCGTTTGATCTTGGACGCAGCGTTGGTGAAATTGCCTGTACTACCAGCACACGTTGAGACTGAAGTGGAAGCTCCACGGACACGGACGGAAGACAGCCGCGTTGGCGGCCGTGCTGGCGGCCGTGCTGGCGTTGAATCAGCACCGCCCCAAAGAGAGCGGACCTGGGTTTAGAGAGCTCTATTGACCAAAAAGCGGAGCTGGAAGTTGTTCAACCTGTTTCTCGGCTTTGACCCGGTTTGCTCATTTCACACTCCCAAGAGGGGCCCTTCTTCCTTGACCATCGCAGGGGCTGAACGAGCTTTAGAAGTCTTGGAGGAGGCTGGCAGAGGAGCCATCGGATTTCTGATTGTGAACAAACAGCTAACAGACACCCAAGCCAAGCTTTGGTTGCGCAAAAGCGGGTTTTGGATGATGTTTGAGACGCAAGCACTGGCCTTGTGTGTCTCGTACCCTGCCAGACATCTGGACGACGTTTATTGTGCCAATCTGCACGACAACGGGGAGCAGGTGAGGTTGCGCAAAACGTCCTGTCATTCATTCTTGTTTCTAATGGCTTCTTGCTCCTAGTAGTAAGGCCAGGAGCCCCTAGTAGCATCCTTGCTCCTAGTAGTAAGGCCTTTGTATCGGCAGGCGCTCGGGAAGCTCTTGTGAGGCTGCTGGATTCTGTGAGCCCACAGGTGGGAAGAAGTGGAGCCGTGTGTTTTGGTGGGGAAAGGTGATGTTCAAAGGTGGAGATGGTGATTCCAGAGGCATTTCCTGGAAAGGCATGGCCTTGCCTGATACCCGTCTCACGAACACAGGAATCTGCGCGATGGTGTGGAGCAACAAGGGTCATCAGCTCAGCATGGTCATAGTACGATGCTAAGTTCAAAATTATTTGCAGTCTAAATAGGCACGGGGCTCCTGGCCTTACTACTAGGAGCAAGGACGCTACTAGGGGCTCCTGGCCTTACTACTAGGAAGAAGCTCCTAGGGGCTCTTCTGGTTGTTGTATCATATGTATGTCGTATAATACATATATCGTATATATAGGGGCTGCCGCCCAGTGCCTCCACGAACCTCATCCCTCACAAAGGCAATTACAAATATCCGCCGGTTGTTTTCAGTTTGTTCCAGAGGGACCTGGGCGGTGGAGCACCTGGAACCACAGAGACTGTAGTGATGCCCTTGTTCCTAGTAGCTTCTAGCTACTGGTAGTACTGCCCTTGCTACTAGTAGCGATGCCCTTGCTATTTTGTAGTTGTCTCCATGCCAAACTTCTCCAACCATCCACCCCAGGATTATCCTTGTTTGCGCCACTGTCCACGATTGCCTTCCTTTTTTCTCGGTCCTTTTCATGTAGCCACCTTGTCCTTGCTTTGTTCTTTCCTGTGTTTTCTCCTCTCCATCAAGGTCATTCCATCTCTGGTGCAAGTGCCACCACTGGCAGGGTAGAACCCTCTCGAAACTCCATCATACGCTTTTGAGACCCGACTCTACATCTGATGTGCCTTACTACTAGGAGCAAGAGGACGCTACTAGGGGCTCCTGGCACCGCTACTAGGAGCAAGGACGCCACTAGGGGCTCTTGGCCTTATTAGGAGCAAGAAGCTACTAGGAACTATAGATGGCTCATGTGTGCCACCGATGCTCTCGGATGTTCTCCACCGACTCACTCCAAGGATTCGGGCTTCAATGCACTCCATGCCGCTGCGTGACTTGAAGTCCAAACTGGCAAAGTTCCGGGTGGAGAATTATATACCTGCCACATCTAAATGGTGCGGTTGTGTTTGGTGTTGTGTGAGCTAGATACGCTCCGCTACGTGTCATCATGGCATTCAACCAAAAAGTTGAGACTGGGAGAGCGTCATGTGTGAGGCCACCCTTGTGGTGAACAACTCTGTAGGAGCCTCTTCAGCATTCTAGGACCTCACAAAACTTGAAGACTCAACTACCTTGTGATCTGTTTGCTTGATCGAAATGCTTCGCTTAATTTTCCAGGCAGTCCGGTGCAGTGGAATGCCTTCAGCTATTGCTGGAGCGCAAGGCACCGGCTAAGCACATGCTGACTACTAAGGTAAACAAGCTTCCAAAGTCAAGCAATTTACTGTAGGCAAGCATAATGGAGAAAGGCACACAATTCATGCTGAATGGAGACCTTTGAGAAAGATGGTCGCTGACAACGTCAGACCTCCAACACCTTTCGTTCCGGACAGGCGAAGACCACTTCCACGGAAGCTGGTGCTGCTATGACGTAGATTGCCACAGAAAGGGCCGATAATTCCGATAATCCAATCATGGAGAGTAAAAGAGTAAGGTTAGGATGGACACTCGAGGCAAGAATTTGCCTCCGCAAATGTTGCTAAAGATGTAGTTTACTTCGGCATGCGTTGCCGATGTTTGGAGATTGATATCCCAGATGAGCAAGTACCATTTGTTACAAGAAAGGGCGCGGTCACAGTTTAGTCCTTCACGTATGGTTTGATCAGAACGAATCTGTGTTTGATGTTTCAAAGGGGAGAGCCTTGCTCAGGCCCATGCATTATGCGGCAATGGCTCAAGAGCCTGAAGCGCTGGATTCACTGCCTGAGCCTTTGCTTGTACTGGTATGACTGTCCCTTGTATGGAAGAGATGAGACAGCCTACCTACCCCTTTCTGCGTTTTGCTGGGTTTGAAGCTCCGAGCTAACATGGGCCAAGTTACAAAGCAAATTACTGCGAGTTGTTGTGGTGTAAAAGCTGTGATAGGAGGTGTGGCAAAATGTCAGGTCACATTTAATGAAGCAAAGCAGCCATTCACAAGCCAACCAAATAGACACTCTATCTAATGAGTAGGGGCCCCGGCCCACGTAGATGTGCAGATAATCATGCATCACATGAGAATCGAGCAGTTATTATGTCGTAAAATAATTGCATTTGTCCGGCCGCGACAATATGTGCTCTTTTGTCATCATGGATGCATGAAAGCAGTCTGTTCCAATGGGCAGGTTGCAGGCCAAAGACAGTTCAGAAATTGCAAGGGAAGCAAAAGAGTTGCAAGAGGAGCTAGAGCTTGAAGAAGCTGACTTGGCCCAACTTCGAAACGAGGCAGATTTGGTGTTGAAGCAGAAGCAGCAATGGGAGATGCAACTGGAGGTTTCTCGAAGCTGCATTCAGAAGCTTGAAGCACGACTGGTGAAGACACGCAGGGCCAAGGCAGATGGAAAGTTCGGAACCAATGAGGTGGACAAGCGCTTGTTGCGAGAGCTTGAAGAGCTTGTAAAGCAGCGGGACAGACTTTGCCGAGAGAGCGAGGCCCTTGGAGAACAAGCTGAGGAACATGACCGCGAGGTTCAGGCATTCGTCCATGTGCTAAAAGCTCTTCCACAAGCAAGGGTGAACGCTGCTGTGTTGAAGCAGGAGGTGTTGGTCGCAGAAGAGGAGATAGATGCTTACCACCAACGATTGCCTCTCAGCGACTTTGGCATGGAAAGGCACAAGGAGTTGCAGGAGGAGCTGTTGCAGTGCCAGGTTTGGGGAGAGGAGACTGCACAACAGCAAGAATCCTGCGAACGGCAAGCTAGAGAGCTTCAGGAAGAAATGGCAAGGCTGGCAGCAGAGGCCGGGGCCGCAAAGCAGGAAGAGCTAGCTGCAAAAGAAGAGGCGGCCTCCCGGAAAGTACAATGTGCTGAATGCTCCATGGCTTTTCGAAAGCAGCAGGTGACAAAAGCACACTTGTTGCGGCAGGTGCGTGAGCTGGAGGCAACATTGGCGCGTGCTCGAGGGGATGTTGCGGCTGAGCAAGCGGAGCAGAAGTCAACCAATGCCAAGCTTGAAGCTCGCTGCCGGTCTTTGCGTGAGGAGGTGGAAGAAAATGTGGCCTTACGCAGCAGGGCAATCGAGACGCGCAACCTACGTGAAGCCGAGACGGTCGAATTGGAGGAGAGCACTGCCCGTATGGCACTGCAACTGCATGCTGATCAAGAAGCACAAGCGCAGATCCAGGCAGCTTTGCACTCGAGCCTTCGATTCGCTGAGAGACAAGAGGCTGAGTTGCGGGCACAGGAATTGGTTGGAGAAGCATTGGTTGAGGAGGTAATGCAAAACCACGAAATTGAGGAGGCTTTGCGTAGAGAGCTCCGTCACGAGCGCCATGAAGCTCAAGAGGCCAGCAATGCAGCGCTTGCATTGCTTTCGAAGCGTCAGTTGAAGGCTGATGAGGCCCGTGAGGCTTTGCTTCAATGCAATGATGCCCTGTTTGCTTCTCAGAGGGCTGAGGAGGAACTGCTTCGACGAGAAGGGCAACTTGAACAGTCTGCAAGGTCTTCCCAAAAGATGCACGAGACTCTTTTGCAGAGGCTTTCCACAGTGCATGACAAGGTAAAGACTGCCGAGTCAGCTCATGCTCATGCACTGGAAGAGTTGCAAGCTGAACGTCGAGAACAGTCGAGGCTCAGCCAGCAGCTTCTGCTGGAAACATCAAAGCAGCGCTCCCGTGTAGCTTTAAGTGCACCGGCAAACGGGCGCGGACAAAGAAGCGCTCAATACCCGTGCATACCCTTCAAGGATCTTCAGCGCATGCATTTGCACTTCTTCATTATCCAAACAGATGTGGGCCGCAGGTCAAAACCTGGACCCCCCAATTTCCCTGAAAGTCTAGGAGTCTAGGAACTGACTTGACCATGCAAAGGGTTCTTCAAGAAAGCTTCTCCCTTTGGGAGAAGTTTCCTTGAAAGGACCAAGCTTTGCTGTGTCCAGCTACCAATAGCTTTTTCCATGCTACCTAGCTTTCTAGTCGCGACCTACACCTAGAGTATCCTATAGTCCGCCCACACTGCTAGTCGGTGCAGGGCGTGCTATTGAGGCTCTTGCCGTCGAGCTCTGCATTTTGGCTTCTGCTAGGGGGGGAGGGGGGGTGCTTTTGTTTTTTCGCGCGGTACATTGTTTGGATAATTTTTCGTTGCGTCGTGCTTGCAGGGCCACTGGGGAGAGCGTTTTGGAGGAGTTTTTGTGTTTTGGGGTGGTTGCTGCGTTGATTCTTGCTCGGCTGCAGGGCCAGCGTTTTGGAGGTGTATTTTTGGATGGCTTTTGGCAATGCCGAAGTTGTATCACCATTATGGGCCCAAAGGTAGACGAAGTTGGCCCCAAGATGGCTCCAACGCAGCCGTAAGACAGCCAACCTGGCACCTGGATGGCTGCACTTGTCCCCCATTTGGAGCCAAAATAGTTCGCAGAAGCTCACTTAAAATCCTGGTCCTGCTGGGGGAGGGCCGAACATAATCTGACAGATAGCTTCAATGCCGACGTTGTCTCACCCAAGCTGATCCCAATTAGCGTCACTATGGGCCCCAAGGTAGACGAAGTTTCATTCACTTCTGACTTAGGAATCACAAACCTCCTTTATTACAGCATCACCCCGTGAAGCTCCACTTCACTAACTTCGGATGTTCGTGCGCGGTGTGGGCGGCTGTCGACGCGAAGCGTCTTGAATATCCTACAGTAAATCAAACGATAAAAGAAAAGATCTGAAATGAATGTTTTCCTGGCACCACCATGCGTGGATCGGTCCTAGGCTTGCGGCCAAAGCGCCTCTGACAGTGCGGGACGCGCGGGGACAGTCGCTTTTGCACGTGGCTGGGACGCAATTAGTGATGTGCCACACGATGCATCAAACTAGAAACCCGTATAAACTCGTAGCATCCTTTAAGAAAGGGACAAAGTATGTAGATTACAACCTGGTATACCCAGGTTGGTTTCCATCAAATTATATAGTGCCTCAAGACTCCAAACCTGGTACATATTCCGATGATTCAGATGCACTGTCAAGACTTACGGAACCTTGCTGCAGTTTCCGTTTTCCTGTGTAATCTGGGTTTCGGGTTTGCACCTTTGGTGCCCCTTCAAAATATCGTCCAGGAGACATCGAGGCTGCTGCTGTTCCAATTCTGTTTAAACCACTGGGTTCCTTTCTGAGGCTGCTGCCCGCAGTGGCTCAAGTGAATGCTTGCAGCGGCTGCTGCAAAGGTCCAAGGAGAAGGCACGGGCGCCTAGCATGCCCATCGGTTCCACTCACTTGCGCACTGCCACAAGGATGGTAGCAGGGAGAGGCCACCCAGAAACACAGAAGCGCGGAAGTTGCTAGAATGGCAGGGATGCCCAGGCAAAGCGCGAATTGGTTTGACATGTTCAGGAACGTTAAAGATGCGCATTTCTCATGATCAGCATTTTGAAAACATGTGTTTTTTTGCTACGACCAAGAAAAGAAGCAGTTGTTTTCTATAGAGGGCAGGTTTACATGTTTGCGTCATAGAACTCCACCACTGGACTTCACCAGGAGCCTCAAGAGCTGCATTGAATAGTAAGCAGTCTGAGCAAACCCAAATGCGCAATGGCAGAACCCACGCGAACTTTGATTTATCTCAGGAGTGATAGATGGGCCCGCACTGCAGTTCATTGGGCAGCCCTCAACGGACATGTCGAGGCTCTCGAAAGCGCCAAAGCATCATGCGTGTGTGTGTGCGTGGGTACGTGCGTGCGTGTTGGATCGCGTGGGCCGGAAAGAAGAGAAGCCCTATGTTACTAGTAGCGATGGCCTCCAACCTACTTGCGATGGCCTCCACCTAATAGCGTCCTTGTTTCTAGGATGATGCAGACATTTGACCAAATTAGACGAGCAGAACACCTGATGTCAGAAGATGTCAAATGTAGTCAGACATGTTTTGCTTGTTTAGGCCAGGGGGAGGAGGCCGCTAAAAGAAGGTCAGCTAGTTAGTAGCTATTAGGTACTAGACGCTACTACCTAGGACGCAGGATAGCTCAAACACTATTCACTTGAAAAGACAGCATTCGCTCACGAGCCACAGCTTGACACGTGCTCATAGCTGGAAAAAATACCCTCGGAAGGCGCTCAAGCTTTTGCTGGAATTCAAGGCGCCTTGCAGCTGTCAAATTCACGTGTCAGAGAAGGCCTAGGAAGCTGTAACATGAGAGAGCTGTCCACTCCCATCACAGTATCTCAACTTGCCATGCTCCGTAAGTCAGTAAAGGTGTGACATCACAATTTGTGCAATACCAAGGTCAATAGCCAACTGTGCTGTATTGGTCTTCGGTTTCACCAAGTGGCTTCAGTGGTCCTTGCTTCCCACATATCAGATATGGCTTTTCAACGGTCCGAACCCAGTAGACACCGATCCGGCTAGTTTTGCACAGGCAAATGCAGCACCCAAGCCCATTACCGAGCACCAGATGGCCAAGAGGAATGTGTTTTTGCCCTGCAGATTCTTCAGATCCCATGCAACCTGTGAAGAGAGGAATGACGATTGCTGTTTTTGACCCATTTTGGTGAGATCAATCATAGGCAGTATCATAGGCCAATAATAAGGCCAATACATGGTTGTGGCCATTCAGCTTGTTGTTGGTGCAGTTGGAGTGTTTGGGTGTTCATGAAGCCATGCCGGGCCTGAAGGACTCACCTCACACAGGCTGGATGGAGAGGGTTCTGAACCAACGGATGTTTTTTGCTGTTTTTTGGACAGGTGAAAGCAAGATCGTTCAACCAAGACCACATTCACATTTCGAGGAGCAGCCCCTGGAATTGGCACAGCGCGTGCATGGCCCTGACAGTGAGGTGGGGAAGTGAGCGGACTCACTCAGGCGATGGTCAGCGAGAATTGTCCAAGGAGAGACAACCAGAACGTCTGAATATTTTTGAATGGATTCCTGTGGATGCCTTGGGGTTCCTATGGAATCATATGGGTTCCTGGATGTGATAAAGGCTTTAAAGGCTTTAATGCAGGACCTTTAGGACAACATGCTCATGCTCTTGTTTTTTCAAGTGTAATAGGTCACTAGCTGAAGCTTGCAGCACGAATCACTGCAATACGCCGAGAAAGTTAAGTGCGATAGATTGGCAGGTGGTCCATCTTCTCCAAAAAGCCTTGCGACAAGAGGTGCCTTTGGAGCATCCTGAATAGGACATCCTCACAGTCAACAGTGCTTACTCTTGATGTCGCCTTTCAGCATAAACTCAATGAAACTCAATGCAGGGACAATGGGAGGAGAAAGAGGATGAGGCTTGGATGAGACAATGTCCGCCTCAGTCCAAGACGCAAAACAAGGGCTACCAAGCTTTGTTCACGGAAGATTGGTACACTCGGGAAAGAGAGGTGTTCGAGCGGGATGTGAAATGGTTCTTCAGTGTTCGACGTGAGCAGTAAACGTTCGGACGAAGTGCGTGCCTTGTCAGCTGTAAATCAATGTCACACCTGACTGCGCTCACAGAGCACATGTCACCCTTGAGTCAACTGATGTCAACAGGATTATGGAAGAAAGTCTGCACCTTTCCGCATTTGAGAGGAATATTCGTGCCATCATAGTTAGTCGTAGAATTTCTTGTTGTCACTGCTTTGCTGGAAGGATGCTCAGCTGCCCCAGTACGTGATGACTTTGAGCCAAGGAGGCTGAGCGTCTTTTTGTTTGTTATGGGGATTGATTGTGATTTCCGCCAAAAACGAAGCTAAACTCCAGTTGTCATACAGAAGGATGTTGAGATAGTTGGTCAGTGTGTAAACTTCAGATAAAGCTAGCTACATTTGGTTACATTTGGAGCCAGGGTTCCTTGATATCTTTAAACAAGGATCCGGGAGTTTGCCTCTTTAGAGACACTCTGATAGGTAGACGTCAAGTCTCAAACTATACCTCTAAATCCTTCCAAAGAATGGGAAGTGGATATCATCCCAGTGCTTTACCTGGGTATTATATAGTGAGTAAAAAATGTGCTGAGTATGTTTTGTTAGTCAGTCGTCATGTTTAAGGAGTTGCTTTTTTGCAGCCGGTTGGACCCTTGCTCTTTTCAAGACTGCTACACTTAACCTGAACCTGGGGGTTCCTAAAGAATGAAGGTGTCCAAGTTGGCCGAATTCGAAGAAATCAAGCTAGTCGAATGATACGACATATAGACGTGGTGAGCCCTCTCTGGCACACGGACAGGTTTGGACCGCTTGGCACTCTGGGAGCTTCGACGATTGAAGGCGAAGAGCATAAAGCGGGTTGGGATGCTGAGAGCGGCAATCACCATCAAAGTTCGTCCAGACTCTTCCACTTTGCAATACAGATTGATAGCATTTGATAGCTCCCACCATGATGCACTTATATAGATATCTGAAATACACTGTGCCATTGCAACGATTATGTTGCAATGGTCCTTTGCTGGTGAGATGTGCTTGTGTCCTCGAGACAACTTCTACTCTTGAGGGCTTTGAGCGCAGAACAATTTTAACTTCAATGTTGGCAGACGTCTACCATCGCAACATGGATTGACCGTCAGCAATCTAGAAGCACCAAACATGATTGCTCTAAGGTGCAATGCCGCATTTTCTTCCGTGCAGCATGTCCACCTGCCGCTTTGGCATCCTTGAAATCTGTACCTTGGCACAAACTGCTGAGAAATGCCGCAGCTGCTTTTTGTCCTTAGGGCGGTACTGTCTTGGACACGTTGAACTAAAGCTACCACTCTTATCTATTCTATGCAAGAGAGGGACAAGAGCAAACGACTCAGCCAACCTCCCCTGAGAGCCACTGGCATTTGTGCCTGTGGGGGCTTGGCCACTGAGTAAAAGGCGTGCCTTTCATTGGGCCAAGGCCGAAAAGGTATGCGCGGTGGCTGGAAGCCTAGTGTGGCGCTTCACCCCGAAATCATGAGGAGGACACAAGAAATCAGCGAGAAGGACAAGACAACCATGTAACAAAGCTCCGTGGACTGCCCTTCCAGTGAAAAAGTAGGGATAGTTGCAGGGTGTGATTCAGGTTGCGCTGTCACCATGTGATGATAGTAGGTCCTTTGACTCCTCTGATTGGTATTGGAACGAAACCCCCCATCTTATTAAGGAATGTAATGATACAGAGCACACGAAAGACGGTCACACGTCGATTGAAACTGGAAGCACTAGCCTGGCCCAACTCAACCCTCTCCTTTCAACAGTTGTATGCACGCAGCTAACTCCTCCCCCCAGGTCTTGCATGCCGATGGCCGCGACTTGGCAACTGTGGCTTGGAAAGCATTTTTGGCAGAAATTTGTGCGTGCTATTGCTTGGGTTCACCAGATGAGTCAAAAATATCATTCAAACTTTCTGGTTCATTGCTGCCATGCATAACTTGAACGAGCCACAAACTGCCGCGTTGAGGTGTTGCAAGGAAAAGGTACCGATGACGAAAAACTGGAGGCCAGGTAATCGCCATGTGTCAAGAACAATGGATGTATCATATGTATCATGATGCATTGATGAACACTCATTCCACCAACTTTTTGTCATGTATATCCGTGATTGAAAGCTATCAGAACTTTCAGAACCTTCGATTGTTCTTTAGGTCTTGGCAGCGTGGTTAGTAAATGCCGCCGGTTGGCCCAAAGCTGTGGCCACATGGTGACTGGGCTGACACAGTGACAATACATAGTTAGGGAATGGCATGCGCATCAATGCGATGGTTTTGACGGGTCCAGAACATTTCGCCTCGGTGGTGCATGTGATTCATGGCAAGCTGAGCATTCCTAGGTGGAAATTCAACGGGATATCACAGGAAGACCATGAAGGCCGACTGTGAATCGTTACAATGCGTTACAATCTCGTAGCAAGGGTTGGATTGTAGTCCTGACATATCCTGACAGGTTGTGAAGTCCTGAGATGTTGTTCCAAGTGCGTAGCGGCTTTTGAGCTAGCCCGAGAGCAAGTGTTTGCAAAGCAGAATTGAATATGGTGTGTGTGCGCTTTGTTTGTTTATGACTCTTTCCCTACAGGCTCCACTCCCATTAAGTTCAGTTCAGCTTTGCTGGCTGGGATGCTTCATGGAACACTATGTTGCCAAAAGAACGCGGCGCCGATATACAATTTTGTGTTCGCCCAATATATACCCGAGAAGTACGAGACTTCCAAACTGACGTGTACTTGCGTTGTTCTTTTGGCCGATCAGCAGACGCGTTTTGATGGCCAGGTGGAGTGTTGACGTGTGCCAGAGCATGTTTGGCCAGGGGAGGAAATAGATACAATATATACTATAAATGGATGTTTGATTCATTGCATTCCTTGGATTCAGTGCGCTAAAACTCTGCAGCTTGACAAGGTGTATGTGTTTACGTTTCTTTGATTGATTGATACTTTCATATTACTGTATATTGGTTCTATATGTTTGTTCGAGTGCAAGATTTGGAGGACGATTGCTTCAGAACTTGCATGTTGCAGCCGCGAAACACAAGCTAAGCTGGTTGAACCAACGAGCCATGCTGGCAGAGGAAAAGCCGTTGAACCTCACGGTGGAGCCACCTGCAGGTGTTTCTTGGCAACATCGGCGCCACGTGTGCCCTGTACCAATACACATTGCTTTAGGCCCCAAGGATCTGGTGAGTGGAGATGAAGCAAGGATTGACAGCATACCTTGATCCTAGAGCCACAATAGGTGTCCAAGGGGTGGATCTGCTGGATCTGCGACCAACTGGCATGGATGTGGTCAAAACAATGAGTTGTTTGGGGGATTGGGACATGTGACACATTCTCAGGTTCCGCGGCGTGCCACCCTCTTGTGGGTGCCTGGTGCAACACATGACTCAGCGGCTATTTACTCTGGGCCGATGAAAGCACTCGCACCGAAGGGATATCGTTCAGTAGCCTTGCAGCTACAAAAGTCCCGCTGCACATCGTTAAGCAATTATGTGAGCCAGGCCAGGATGGTTGCAGCACCGCAGGATGTCTAGCTTTCTTAATAGCCAAGCTCCATCTTCAGAACATGAAATTTTGAAACAATCATGTGGTCAGTGATTGAACCGATCCAAAGATGCAACGCAGAAGTCATTGGGCTTTGGTGAGGGTTTTCACCATCGTTTATCGTGCTCAGGTGGAAGCCGCACTTATGGACTTGGAGGAGACATCCGGTACAGCAAGTGGATGCAAATGATTTAGCTTGGAAGCACAGAGTTCCGATCAAGATTTGGGTACTCGCACCATGTAATCAATCACCGACCACTCTTTGCAAAGAGCATTGTCCCCTTTGGTGCAGACGATCTCTTGAATGTCGACATCTACTTTGAGTCCAACTCAGCCCTCCAGTGAAGCCTTTGTTTCTTTCAAGATCTTTTATGCGCCAGTGTTTCAGTCTAGCTCGGCATGACACAGGAGCCGGTGTTTCTTGTCGGCCATTCACTGGGTGGTGCCATCGTAGAGGCGCTGGCTCCGTGTGAGCGAAGGTACAAATGTTCCAAGCCATACCGAAGAGAGCACAAATGTTTGGAATGGGTGTTTTAGTACAGAGCCTATGAAGGTGTGTTGCAAATGTCTCCAAATGAATGCTTGGCAAAGCACTTTGCCACAGTGAGGTGCTGCTCACAAGACGGCCCGACGCAGCGGCGAAGGTGCATGGTGCTGTCCTGCTATGTGCAGTTCCCGTGATGAGCTTTTGCTGCCTGGGAGCATGAGATTGCTGCTTTCTAAGTGTTTCATTCAGGTGTTATTACCTGCCGCATGTTGTAGCTGATTAAAGGCCTTATGGGGACTCCAGTACCAAGGCTGTCCATTCCACTTCACTCCTCTTCTTTTTTGTAATGCTTTGCTTCCTTCCTTCTCCATCTTGGCCCTTTTGTCCTCCAGCTTGGCCATGGTCCAAGGTTGAAGGAAGTGTATTGAGTCGTTACATTGCCTGAACTTTTAAGCCACCAGCTCGCAATTTTGGCCCAGGCGAATACCTGAAATTTTTCATCTACCTCTTGTGTCGTTGGTTCCTGGGCGTTTTGATGGTCCTCCTCACACTGAATGTCGCACAGCTGGTGGGGGGTGGTGACTGTTGCCGCTCTGCCCAGCGTTGCAAAGCCATTGGCCACCTGGCAGTGCACCCAAGAGGGGGAGTGCCGTGCAGAGCTAAGGAGTGTTGAAGAGGTAGGTTCGTATTGTGAAGCTGCAGAAGATCTATATAGTCCATTGTTATTGTATGTGGGAGCCGATCGTAAATGCAAATCTAAGAATTATGAAAGGGCATGTGTATCTCAGCATCTGCGATTGTAAAACCCTGCATCGCGATTGATCGGCGATTGGTTCGCGATTGAGACAAACATTTGTTGTATCAGAATCGACCATTGTAAGAGGAGAAATCAGTATTATATGGGATGATAATTATGTTACAGTTCAGCCTTACACTGTATTCGGGTTTGCCTAGACACTGTGTTCAATCGTGATAGCCAATATAGCAAAGAAGAATCAGAACAACAAAGTTCAAAGTCTACCAGCCCAGATCAATTCAATTCTCAAAAAAATGTCGACGAAATCCGCGATTGATCCGCGATTGTGCCGCGATTGTTAAACCCGCCTGAGTAGGCCCTGGCTCACGCCATGTCTCTAAATACTGTGATATGTAGCAATGTTTCGACGATTCTTTGCGTAAAATAGTGTTGCATACGAGAGCACTCTCCCGCGATTGACACCGTTGGGGTCGCGATTGATTCGCGATTGATCGGCGATTGTAGCTGCCTCAGATACCTTTATTTTGATCAACACCCATGTGTTTGTTTGGAGAATCATGATGGAAACACCATACACTTTGTTAGATTGTAGCGGAAGATCAAGACTAGACCGGACCAAATCATGAACATGGCACTGGGCATTCTTTCTCTCATTGTTTCTCTACATGTATACATTGATTTGCCATTTTCTGCAACCTGAGTAATAAGTGGCAATGCCGGATACTCTTTCAGGCGTTTCAAACGCTGTCAGGGTCAAGAGCTTCGATCACCATAATACCACCCAATCCTTGCATCAAGACAAAGCTTCGGACAGCGTCCACAAATAAAGTTGCATTCAAGACAGTACTTGGATAGGCATTGCGGAACAAGTGATGGTCTTCTTGCATGAATGCTTGAGTACACAATATGTAATGTGGGATCGGTCATGTTTATATATACCAAAATGCTGTCTGAATCTGCAAGCTGCTGCTTAGGCTTTGCCGAGGATCCAGATTATGTCACGATCACTGGTGACAGACAATCTTTTGAAGAGTATCATCAAGGATCGCATGGGTAGCCTTCGCTGATGACAGAGGCAAATGGAACCTTCAACCCATGCTTTCACATGAAGAGGTGGGCATAATGGCAATCAAGGAACGATGTGAATGGATCAAAGATGTGGAGAAGTAGTTAAAAGAGTTGTAAGGGGAAGTGCAACTGTCACTGCAGCCAATCTTTTGTTCAGGAGTTGCCAGGGTGGAGTCAATCCCCTTGCTTCTGGGCCTTTTGTGCTACAGCATCACAGCACCTGGCAATGCCAAGGAATTGGGAGCACAATTGCGTTGCCCGTTCATCCCTCAATGTGAAATGCCAGTAAGATAACAATGTACCTTTGGAGCTAATCATGGGCAAGATTGTAACGAATTCATCAGGCCCCTCTGAGATAGAAAGTTCTGTGATGGACTCTGATGGACCATGACACAATCATGCCATATTTGCCCTGTTATACTGTAGCATGTTGTGACTCTCGAAGTGGCAGAGGGGCAGACACTTCATATCAGTGCATCACAAGGAGAACGGCCCAAATGGCCCAGCAGAGTCTGCTCAAGGGGTATTACAACAGAACGGTTGTTCTTCTATCACAAATGGTTGCTAATGACTTCCATCCAAATCAATCAGAGAATCATTGTAGGAAGTTGTTTGTTGTTTTTGTAGAGAGTGCTGGTAGTACTCTTCTTGAGAATAATATTGATAAAAGACGCTGTTTGATCGCGCGATCAAAGTGAATGTCACATACACACTGCAGTTGTGAAAGTTGGATACTCCAGCTCTGAAGGACTTGACGGGTACTGCAGCTGCAGTGCTGGCAGCTGAAAAGGACGTCCTGACTCCTTCCTGGATGCACAAGAGTGCCTCTTCTTTTCTCTAGGCTCTCGATGAAGCTGCTTTTCAATAGCCGATGAAGCAATAGAAAACTTGAAATCAAGAAGCCAAGGAAATGAATTCCTTGAAGGTCCACATTAGGGGCTTGACAGCTGCCTCAAATCCGAACAGTCAAGGTACCGCCGCAGCATGGTCGACAAACATCGAAGGGATTTCTGATCAAGGCCTTTGGCGATTGTTACTTTGCAGTCAAAGCTACTAGGGGCTCCTGGCATCGCTACTAGAAGCAAGGACGCTACTAGGGGCTCCTGGCCTTACTACTAGGAACAAGAAGCTACTAGGGGCTCCTGGCATTCGCTACTAGGAGCAAGGACGCTACTAGGGGCTCCTCGCCTTACTACTAGGAACAAGAAGCTACTAGGGGCTCCTGGCATCGCTACTAGAAGCAAGGTTGCTACTAGGGGCTCCTGTCCTTACTACTAGGAACAAGAAGCTACTAGGGGCTCCTGGCATCGCTACTAGGAGCAAGGACGCTACTAGGGGCTCCTGGCCTTACTACTAGGAACACGAAGCTACCAGTGACAAGGGCATCTCTTCTAGGAGCAAGGACCACACATGATTGTTTTGAAGTTGAGACCGGATTAGACCGCACTGAAAGTCACGTGTCCAAGAAAGGTCTAGACGTCAATCATCGGCAGTTTGTTGGAAGCAAATTCGAGGCCATTTTGTTTCTGACTCGAAGTGGCAGTCAACGTTCCTCGGCTCGGATTGTTTTGACTTTCCTGCTGAAGTCTTCGTGGGCTCGGCCAAAGGTTCTGCCAAAGTTGCTTTCAGAATGACGCACCATTGGAAGAATGTGGAAGAGTAATTGTGTGTGTGTGACTGTGTGTTTCTTTGCAAAAGGGAGTTGTTCAAGTGGTGCTCCAGCATGTTTCAAGTCGTTCTGGCAAGTTTTGGGTCTTCAAAGGCCTTTCAACATCTTGCAACAAAGACGGATGTGTGTTTTTTTTGCTTCGCTTCGTGCACCATTCAGGCTGGTCCCTGCGCTGGAAGATGCACTGCTGAAGCTCAAGCCATGAGACCATGAGCCAAAAGGAGAGTCCTCAGTACCTAGCAGCACCTGCCATGGATGGTTTGTTTGCTGTGGAACAAGTTGGTTATTTTGAAAAATCTGCCACGGAGAGCGAGCCAGCATCGTACTGGTACGAAAGCTCTCTTTGGAACTGTTTGATATGCCATGGTTCAGCTGCTTCAGCCAGGTTCAAGATCACTTGCAGACGCTCTGGCAAGAAGTTTGCACAGATCTCTTCGCAAGGTGGGGCCTGAAACTCTCAATGGAGGCATGACGAGTGGGCCGATCCACCACATAGCTCAAATTTGGCTTTTCTGTGGCGCAGCTGAGTCAGAGCCTATGGCCCACCGGCTTAGCCTGAGTGAACCACACCAAACTCCAGTTGAAGGTGACAAGCAATTGCTCAAATGAGGAATGTGCTATGGCCCATGGCGGACTGACCAGTCCATGTCAATATCAGCCCCCGTTCTGGATGTGTGTGACGTGTGTGTGTTTGGCCAGGATTAGCGGTGGTAGCCGCATCGGCAATTACTGCCCAACAAGGCAGCTGGCAATTTGGATTCATGATTCATAGGAGGGGCACAGGGCAGACGATAAATATCAGTCCTGTATGTTGACGGATGGCTGCTGAGTTTGCATTGTCAAATCTGTTGTTTTGGGCTGCGACAATAGGGTTGATAGGCTCTTGATTCCATTGCGTGAAGTCATATTCACGGGTTCCGTAGCAGATGATCGCCACAGGCTGGCGAGCGCAGGCCTGCCGCAACTCGAGATGGCTTGCATGTCCTCCAAGTATTGGCACTAGTTGGACAGCAGTGCCATGCGGCATGCGGTGTGTCAGAGGTGTGCTGAGCCAATGCTGACATGTAGTTGTAACACGTTGTAACTAGGATCATTGAAGGCTTGTCTACTTAAGGTTCCACAAGGACAATCTTATTTGCACCATCGGCTACGCTAGGACATTAGGTCTCCTTTTTGGAACAATTCACCGTGATGGCTTCCTTGCGTTGAATGGGTGCAGAGGATGGTTTGCTTCGAAGATCTTCGAAGCGATATCCGCGTCAAAGAAGAAAGTAGCAGGGAGTTGTAAATGTGCATCAAAATGATTCCAGGCCTTGGTAGTTGTGAAGACAGCAAGACTGGGGGGTCATACGGAGCGAGACGGGAGCAGTGTGGCAGGTGCGACGACCTGACATGGAGATTCGAATTCTTGCTGGAGGGCCCAGCAAGGGACAGCGCATTATTTGCTCATAGTATGGGGAGAGCCAGGAGAGCTGCCACATCGCAAGGTTCCATGAGAATGCACCCGGTTTTGTAACATCTATATGGATCAGTGTGGGACTGTCAATTATCACCCCTTTTGAATCTATAACAATCATATTTTTGAACAAGTTATGAGGGAGGACATTTGACCGTGTGAGGAGCTATAAGCATATTGCAGGGTTCTAAGGTAAAAGGGTTGCAAAAGTGAAAATCTCAAGAAGAAGAACGTAGAAAGACTCCTTGCTGTCCCCAATACACAGGGAAAAGATTCCTTGCTCAGCCATTCCATTTTGAACCGGCCCCGGTGTGTCTCCCAACACCAACACGTGTTCTATCCTACCCTTGTCACGAAAGGTAGCCCTTTAGGGGATACCTTGAGTTTGTCTTGCGAAGCAAGTGTTGGGACGTCCGGGTCTAATAATTGATCGCTCAATTCAGACCCCCCCCCCCTCCCCCCCTCTAAAATCAATTCTCTCCTGGAGAACGTCTTCGTGAGCCTCTCATGATTTCAGGATAGTTGAACCCCTCTTGAACATTCAGAAAGAGTGAATATGAAATTCTAATCACGAAAGGTGTTCCCCGAGGGGATACATACCTAGAGTTTGTTTTGTGAAGTACGTCAATTCTCTCCTGGGGAGCGTCTTCGTGAGCCTCTTATGGTTTCAGGATAGTTCAAATCCTATGATGTTCCGATTCAATGCTCACCGATGATCTGAGCCATGGGGCAAGTTTGTTTTCTTAAGAATCTTTTTGAACATTTCGAGAGTACATGTTTGAACATTTAAAGTGCATATGAACATATATTTACGAAAGGTCGCCTCCGAGGGGATAAATCACCATGTCGAACATTGCATTTTTGTTCCTGCCTCTCGCGTTCTCTTCTCTTCCCGCTGTCCTACCTTTCGTGTCTCCCTCCTCTCAAGTTTCATAGCCTACTTCTTGGCAAGACGTGTCTTGCACCCTCACAAGTACAAGTAGGCTGGAGGCCATCGCTACTAGGGTGGAGGCCATCGCTACTAGGGTGGACGCCATCGCTAGTAGGTTGGAGGCCATCCCTAGTAGGTTAGAGGCTATCGGCTATCGCTACTGGGGTGGAGGACATCGCTACTAGGTTGGAGGCTATCGCTACTAGGGTGGAAGCCATCGGTACTAGGTTGGGGGCCATCGCTATTAGGTTGGAGGCCATCGGTACTAGGTTGGAAGCCATCGCTATTAGGTTGGAGCTATTAGGGTGGAGGCCATTGCTACGTGGATGCCATCGCTAGGTTAGAGGCCATCGCTTTTCGTTTGGAGGCAATCGGTACTAGGTTGGAGGCCATTGCAATTAGGGTGGAGGCCATTGGCTACCTGGATGCCATCGCTAGTAGGTTGGAGGCCATCGCTAATAGGGTGGAGGCCATCGCTACTGGGGTGGAGGACATCGCTATTCGGTTGGAGGCCATCGGTACTAGGTTGGAGGCCATCGCTATTAGGGTGGTGGCCATTGCTACGTGGATGCCATCGCTAGGTTAGAGGCCATCGCTTTTTGTTTGGAGACAATCGGTACTAGGTTGGAGGCCATCGCTATTAGGGTGGAGGCCATTAGCTACCTGACCTGGATGCCATGGCTAGTAGGTTGGAGGCCGTCGCTATTAGGGTGGAGGCCATCGCTATTAGGTCGGAGGCTATCACTACTAGGGTGGAGGCCATCGCTATTAGGTTGGAGGCTATCGCTACTAGGGTGGAGGCCATCGCTATTGGGTTGGAGGCTATCGCTACCAGGGTGGAGGCCATCGCTATTGGGTTGGAGGCTATCGCTACTAGGGTGGAAGCCATCGCTGTAGGTTGGAGGCTATCGCTACTAGGGTGGAGGCCTTTGCTATTAGGTTGGAGGCTATCGCTACCAGGGTGGAGGCCATCGCTATTGAATATTGGGTTGGAGGCTATCGCTACTAGGGTGGAGGCCATCGCTAGTAGATTGGAGGCCATCGCTATTGCTTATCCTACGGAGGTGAGCGACTCCGACCTTCTGCTGGACCTGCCTCTCCTTGTCTACGACTTGGAAGTTGAGATTTCTTCCTGGAGTGGCAAGGAAAGCTCAAGGAGTAGAATTTCATATTTTGATAGAACCATCCTCCCTGATACAAGCGAGAGGATATCGTCGAAGAGGTACAGAACTTCATGCGGATTGGCGGGGAGCTGTCCTCCTCTGGCATGGCAGCACCTGTCGTGAGGGCCTCCAATGGAATCGCGAATGTGTCCGCGGTCTACTTTGGTGCAATTTGCTGGGTATACTCCTTTCGAATTTGTCATGAGGATATCAAATTGCATTACAACATGTTCAGGAGCTTGATTCACGAGCCACATCATGCATAGTTCACATTTTGACGAAAAACACTTGTCCAAGCTGGAGTCAGAGGGGGAAGTGGTGGTACATCATTCCACTTCACGGTGATGTTTTTTCATCAGGAGGTTTGACCATCTGATTTCTGAAGCCACATGTTTTGGAGTTAGACGTCATTTGTTTTATATTGGTGAAGTCAAACAACATGTCGTTCTATAGAACATTAGAGCCGGATTCCACGTTCGGAGTTTGGCCGAAGAAAGTTGAGATCAGTGTAAACATGTGTAAAAGATCGTACAAGGATTGATAAGCCACATCCTTGCCACTTTTGTGGTTACCATGCCGCCCTAATTTCACCGGACTCTTGTTTCTGAGTTTTTTGAGCCGAAGAGCGCTTGAAGAATAAGATCTTCGTACCAAGGCTTGGGCCATGGCACGCTGCGCTGAGCTCAAGCCAGGTGAAACAGTCCTGGACCCCATGTGTGGTAAGGCGAGGAAGGTCTGTGTTGAGACAAGAGCTGAGGTGAAAGAAATGCAAAAGATTTAAAGAGAGAAGGATCCAATTTGAAACATGACATGAAGATTTTGTAGCTGTGAAGAGGTTGAATGTGTTTGCGTGACTGGCTGTTCACCAGAAAGAGTTCAAGCTGAGAATAGATTTGAGTAATGTGTGGAGTAGCTACAGCTCCACGTTTGATGAGTAGGAGTTTTTGGAAAAAGACCAGCGAGCCTGATTTCAGGCAGTGATTCTGGTGGAGGCCACAGCTTCTACCTTGTGTCCATTCTCTCTCAATGGCTAAGTACTAGGCACCCAAGAAACTGATGCATTAATTTTGCTTGTGGTGTTCCCTTTGCTTCTTTAGACCTGTTAGATCCTTTGGACCGTTCTTTGTTTTTTTCCCTTTCTTTACACGTTTAAACCTGTCTTTGAAATTCTGTGCTTTTTTCATACTTTCTTTAGACCTTTAGACCTTTCCTTCTTGTGTTCTTTAGACTTGGGCAATTCTTTCTTGTTTGCTCTTGATTGATTTCTTTAGACCAGACCTTTCTTTCTTGTTTTTGCTTTTGTGAGTTGGGCATAGTTGGGCCTTTCTTTCTTTCTGTGTTTCTTTCTTTCTTTTCTTGGCTTTTGTCCTTGGAGCCTTAGACTGATCTTTATTTTCTTTTTTTCACTGTAAACACTTGGACCTTTCTGTCGAGTCTATCTTCTGTTCGTTCCTTGTCTCTCTTTTTTCTCGAGCTAGCTCAAAGCTATATGGGGTTCCTACTTCTTGACCGGGTGGCTGATCGACGTTTTGCTCTACCACTGCTGCGTTGTCTCCCAACTTGTGCCTCTGTGATCGGCGTTTTGTCTTCCGCTGCCGTGCCTCCGTGCTCCGTGTCGCCCCCTGTGTGGTCGGCGTTTTGAAACAGCCACTTGGGATCACTTGGGCATGTGCTGAAACTGCAGGCACGGAGCCCGAAGAAGATTACAAAATGTGTGAAGTCACGCAGAGAAGGGTTTTTGGAGACACTCAGATCACTGGAAGCTCAAAGCTCTCATGGATTTGTTTTGTGAATTGCTTTACTTCTTGTCTGAGGTGCTGCTGTTTTGTTGAGCTTGTAGCTATTTGGGGTCTATGCCGGTGTAATTTCTTCTTGACATCCGCATATGCACATCTAGCGCACCCAAGCATGGCAGATGCAGAAAGTGTTCAGGAAGATTTCAGAGTTCGAAAAAAGTTGGAGTTGAGGCGGCATTGAGTTGGCCCCTTTGTCACTACCTTGGTGGTGCACTAAGATCTTGACTTAGATGTGAGTACGATGAGGCTTGGGAGTAATTGAGAGGCCTTTGTCGCAAAACTTTCATGGAAGTAACAGTAACGCGCTCATGGTGCCAGTCAACGAGGTGTCGACATTGATGCAGATCAATTGACAGGTGCCAATAGCAATGTTTGAGACCCAGTTTGGTTCCAAATGTATATTTCCCTGAAAGTTGGTGTCGCACTGTTGTCATATAAAGACAACCTCCAATGGTTGGTAGAGTAGCGTTGATCCTTTTGCTCGACAAAGGCATTTTTGGCCCATGCCAGTGGCGCGCGGCTGGACTGTGGGAGTGGAGGGTGGCTGAATGCCCTTGATCATCCTTGATCCTTTGAGATCTCCCAGAAAAAGTTGCCATGCAAATGTTCAGTTCTGTATTCCGCCTAGGGCCTTGTTATACAAGTGTATTGGGCATTCCAATTGGTGCGGATTCTCAAATCTTGAAACTCGCTTCGACACTCATGAAAATGATGAAGTCAGGAAGCGTGTTCAACAGTGCAGACGAAGGACCTGCTTCAAGGTGATGCATGCAAATTGCCGTTGCCTGATGCCTCAGTCAGCATCTGAGACACTAGTCAAAAAGAGAGCTGGCAACCTGGAGATGACAAGCTGAAACATGCATGGCATGGATCAATGTCCATCCAACCTTATGGAGGTGTATTTCATTTGTTTGGCAAGCCTGACGCTTAGTAAAATACTGCCCATCAACATGCTGCTTTCAGTCAAGGTTGATGTGGTGATTTGCGATATCCCCTATGGGCGGCAATATGGCACCATTGAGGAATGCCGAGATACCTTGTACAAGGCTGTGTACATGTTGGAATCAAATCAGATGTTTGTTGATCAAACTGTGTCTCACCTGAGGGATTGTTCGGAATAATGTCATGACAATGTTGACCAGTTTGAGTACAGTACTGACAGTACTCCACAACATCACATGCTGGGTCATGGGACCATTGCCTCTGGCAAGGCTATATTGAAGGAGCTCGATCGAGCCCAAGACTCAGCTCAAAGGTCAATGGGATCTTTCGCCCTGCTGTCCTTTCACGACTCTTGTTCAACAACTGTTTGAGGATGTTCCAGGCGTTGCTTCACACATCATGGCAACAAAGCATTGCTGCAGATACAATGGCCTTAGTGTAAATTGGAAGATCGAATGCCATTGAGCAATCTGATACTAGGTCATTCAACGTGGCCCAGCTGGTCGGGCTATTCTTATTTCCTCCTTGGAGCAGGTTGGCAAACATCAGTGACTCATCAGTGTTGGCTATGGCTTTTCCCTAAGGATGGTAAGCAAAAGATTGTCGACTGCAGATCACAGGATGTGTTTGATTGCTTCTGGCTGCTGGGATATTAAATAGTGTTTTCAAGACAAGCTGGTGTTACAGGAGCCTTGGGTCTTCAAAGAGGCACAGCTGGAGTCAACAGAGGTGGGAAGTTCTGCGAGCAGATGCGGAAGCACCAAAAACTGTGCGACTTGAAAAAGCAATGTCCATCCTACAGCAATCTTCTTATAACATGAGCCCCTGCAATTGAGGCAGTATGGCGCTGCACGGCACGTCGAGAGCCGCGCCACCAGATGTGTCAAGAGTTGGAGCACCGTTATCCAATGTCGCAAAATGGTGTCCTTCCACAACTAAAAATGTCATTGCTTGTCACCTATTATGTACTCTGTGGTTACGCCGCATCATCCGCATCACTTCTTCATACCAGAGCCTTGCAACATGCAAGCATGTTCATTGAAGCTCATTTACTTTCGTTGAAGGGGCAAGTGTTGCAGTGGTGTTGTCTCGAAAAAGTGGCAAGGTTGAAGCTGGGCTTCCTAGATGCATCGATGTTCGTGCTGCGTCGAAGAGTACCAGGCAGAGCCCTGGGGTGTAAAATCGCTGGAGTGCAGGGCTCCTAGCAGTACAGAGACATGCTTCTTTGCTTTATTTGGCAGGCCAACAAGCTGGCGAGCTGCCAGAATTGTCCAAAAGGCTGTGGCTCCTCGCTTGCAAGAATGATCAGAATGTAGCAGCCAGATGCTACCGCCAGGTGTCGGTGGTGAGTTTATGGGCAGCGAGTGGGAAAAGGTTGGCACACTAGAATAGGAGCATGTATCTATTATTTCAAAGAAACTGGCACAAATAGATGTTGCTTGCTTTTATGGGAAACATGAGGTGGGAAACTTCGGCTGGTCGAGGAGATTGGGCTTCTTTGAAGGCTCGATTGCAAATCATGGAAATATGTGCACCTGGCCTTTCAGAAAGGAAATTTCATTTCTGATACAAGTAGTTCCCGGGCAAGCCGGCGGCGGAAGTTTCCTATAAGAAGAAATTGACCTATAGGAGTGTCCACGTTCTCTCCAACACGCGCGTCCTCCAGTCAAACGCACGCGCTCCGGACTTTTGACCCACGGGATTCCACGTGTGTAAGGTGTGTGTGCCCCCTGCGAGAGATGACACACATCCGGCCATCACGACTTGCCAAGGATGCGGTCCACATCGACACACATCCCACCGTGGCATTCTTCAGTGGCGGCAAACCTTGCATATCACACATCGGACTGAATGGAATCCGAATTTGAATGTAAAATCTGTCTTGAACTCTGAGACTATGTATGATGAGTCTTGTATGATGAGGGGTGTATGACAAGTGATGAATGATGAGTGGTGTATGTTGAGTGGTGTATGACGAGTGGTGTATGATGAGTGGTGTATGCTGACTGGTGTATGATGAGTGGTGTCTTGACCAGCAGTTGAATGTCCTGTCCTGCATAACTGCAACCAAATACTATCAGTATGAACTGAACGCGCACGCCGCGAGAGATGACTCAGCAGCGAGAGATGACTCAGTCGCGAGAGATGACTCAGCAGCGAGAGATGGCTATAGCGAGAGCTGACTCAGCAGCGAGAGATGAATGAGCAGCGAAAGATGACTCCTCCGGGTACTACACTGTTCGCCAGTACAACTCTAGTTGCACTACGAAGTCGCCAGTTTTTAGCTTCCAGCTGCACAGATTGCTCCGCGTGCTGAAGTTGCACTACAAAGTCGCCAGTTCTCATCGTCCAGCTTGCCAGATAGTACTACAAAGTCGCCAGTTCTCAGCTTCCAGCTCTACAGATTGCTCCGCGTACTAAAGTTGTACTAGAAAGTCGCCAGTTCTCACCATCC